TTTGGTGGGGTGCGGCGCTCGCTTGCCTGCGGCGCTCGCTTGCCACATACGTTATAGCTAAAGCTGCAATTAATCCCTATATATATGCACCTCCAAGCATCCTAGGTTGGCGCTCATATTATTATTGTTATGTTGTCTGTGTGTATGCGTGTGTGTCTCAATTGAGAAGGAGCTCACGTAGCTGTCCAAATATCTTTGCTGAAGCAGCAGTTGTCATCATCCGCGAGAGAAGGAACACCGATGAGGAAGGGAAGCATCTCAAAGAAGTGTGCGCATCCACAAGAGATATGAAGAACGTCATAGCATGTTCTTGGCCGGTGCAAGAGAAAGCCTGGCATAATGTGAAGGAGGGTTTCAGGAAGAAGCAAGCATCTGTAGACTCATGTGCTCGCGTTTGCCGCTCGACAGCTCAAGTATCTTTGGCTAACAGTGATGATGGATTGCGATGAGCGGGTACAAGGAGGGGCGCGCAGTTATGAGAGTGCAAGTTAATTAAGGCAAAATCCTGGTTAGATATTAGCGAGACTGTTACGGACATGATCAAAGGGGGCTTGATCAAATAAGCATTTCAAGCATCACAAATTAGGCAAAACGACTTTCCAGTCCATGAGATCAGTGATCGTTTACTTTTCATATGTAAAACTCCATTTCATTGTCATTGTAACGAGGCAAATCGTAATTCAGTATATACAGTTGGAAGTTTGAGGGTCCATAGCTCTCGCAGGCCACCATCGTTATCCAGTTGGTAGGGAACTCTGATTTTCATCGAATCCCTCTTGATCCCCCAGAAGCCGCGATATGAATCTACTTGCTCTCGACCATCTCGGCAGTGGCATCGCCAATCTGGTCGAGGACGGCGGAGTTGGGTCCGTTCATGGCGATGGTGAAGTTACCCTCGTAGACGTGGCTACAAAGGTCAAGTTAGTATACATGTACAGGTGGTGCAGCGGAGTGTTTGAGGAACTTACCTGTTGAGGGTCTGGGTAAGGAGAAGGAAGTGGCCTTGGGACTCAAGGGGAGTGACAATCCAGCTGGGGTCCGAGCAAGGGAAAGATTGGCCGGGCACGAAATTCTCAGCAACGCAGTTGATGCCTGCACTGTTGTCGGTGGCGTCGACGTTGAAGGAAATAATGGGGTAGCCGTTCACGCTGTTGTAGTTGAAGCCGGAAATTGTGGCATTCCTGGCGGCGGCAAGGCCAGCGAAGAGGGTAGCAGCGGCAACGGTGAACTTCATTTTGATAGTATGGTTGTTTTTGCCTGGGAAGCGAAGGTCTTGGGGTTGGACGATTAGGAATCAAAGGCTGATGTGTGGTGGTGAGACAGTGTGGGCAGCCAAGTCACCTCTTTATGTACCCATCCTCGACGTCCTTGGACTACAAGGAATATAAGCATTTGACTAAATTAAGCATTGGCGCGGCAAAGCGTCGCAACAACAAGTGTGCAAGTTATCAACTTCCCAATTCGTGGCACTGGTGCGTTGGAGTGTTTTTGTTAAAGATGTCCAAGCGTGCAGAGCGTTGAAGGGCTGTAGGGTCTTGTAGGGAAGCGGTCAAGGCGGCGGTCTACTGGGACCGTCCGTACACGTATCCTGGGCCTAGGCTAGCATGTCCCAAGGCTATGGACATGTTGTCTGTTGTATGCTGCCAGCGTAAAAAGACTGGGGCCAGTTACATCAGTGAATACGATGTGCCAGTTGGTTCTCGATAGTTCTGAGGTTACTTTGCTTTTGCTGCAATAATACTTAGCAGGAAACGACAGAAACATCACAGTTGGCCATAATCTTTCCACGTATTGCTCAGGTGCCCTAGTAAGTTTCGATATACGAGGGTAGTAAATTCCCTTTATGCAGTTGCCCGATACTGAGAGAGAGAGAGAGAGAAAGCAAATTGTTGGGAGGTAGTGTTGCATGAACAAAGACGGATCTCTATCCATAATGTTTGCACGCTACTGCGGGCTCTTTGCGGAAACGGGGAGGTGACCGAGTTTCTAAACGTGTTCCTGGATGAAAACCCACAGACTATCAACGCTAAATTTAGCCAACGCTAAATATAATTGGGGATATGAGTATTGACGGATTGGTGCCAGGGATCGCTGTTCATGCCGCTAGTGGCACAATGTTGTCGGTCACGTGTCAATGGCTCAGGACCTCAGAGCGCCCCCCTCGGCCGACTTTGTGCTGCAGCAGCATTTCTGGTGGCTCAAGGTCGAAGATGACGGCATCAGGCTTCTTCCATGCCAAAGTTCCATTATTCGACCGGCTAAATAGCAAAACGTTTGTCCGCCGACGTTACGAGGTAATAGGGCCGCCCCCTAGCCACGACCAGAGTCAGTTGGCAGACGCTGTGGTTGGTGGTGAATCTGTCTGCTATTATCATGGGGTTGCATGGACAGGTGGGCTCTAATGACCAAAACAGACCACTTGTTGACTCGTTGGCACAATGTTTTCCTGCGAGACAGAAAATGACAGGATACTGTACGCTGTACGGTTGTGGCTTGAGCGCCATTGCCGGGGCAGGGGCACGACTCCTAATCGGATGGCTGTGGAGTAAATCTCCGCCTGGTCAAGCAATGTCCAATGCAACCTCGTATACGCCCATTGGAGCTGCCATGGCCAAAGTTGCGTTTTCAAAGACGGGGGGAGTATCTGCGCGAGCGTGACATTTGCATGACATCCTGAACCCCTGACTACCGCATAAACTAAGTTTAGCGGCTTTAGTCTTTACGATGATTGTCTAGAAAAGCAGGCCATGCGAAAGCGCACAACCAAGTTGTTGAGCTGTGTGCAGCGAGTAAGCCTTCCGACTGTCGCTTTTCACTGTGACGACGGCATACTCCCAGGTACACACACCTATTAATGGAAGCCCAGAAGCCCCATATCACCTTACTTACCCCATATTGCCTGCGCCCGTAGGCAAATGACGAAATAAAGTGGATCAGTCCATCTGGGGACGGCAAACCGCGTCCATCTTGAACAGTGCGTAGCATACATATCCGCGGGAATGGCGGTGAATTTTCCAAACAATGTACAAAACAAGACACCCACACCAAAGAAAATCACTCCCTATAACTTCAAGCGTATCATGGAACTCCCTTCCAAAGTCAATTCCAAACTCCAAAACTGCAGGTAAAGCGACGTACTATACACACATGCGCATCTTACCTACGTACAGTCATGAACTGGTCTTCTCAGGGGTTTTCACAACGCCCGCTGCGTTCTCCACACCTTGTAACGACGACGGTGTACTTATTTTAGAAACTCACCCCAAATTACAGTACTACTGTATAGGACTTGCGGGCAAAAGAAAAAGCGCCGAAGGCTCCTGCTTTTTTTGACGATATCATTACAATCTAGACTTGAGGCCTTTTGTTGACCTTGGCACTTGGGTTTGCGGCCAGGGCTGACGTGATGGCTCGCAAGTGCCACGCCAATGACAGTGCTTGGAACCCGCCTTATGAGCTCAGACGAACGACATGTGTGTGTGTTTGACATGGGTCAGATGTTTGTTGTTGTCAAAGAAAAGAGAAACAAGAGGAAAAAAAATCAATTTGGTGTGGTAATATCTACGTACCTACGTGGTTGTCGAGTGCACCTCATCCTGTGCCAAACTGACTTGGACTCGCTGAGCCCACATGTGACGAGGCTCATAGCCATCCGACTCTTCGCCCGATAATACTCACGCCCCCAAGCGCCGCACTGACCCCAGTCCAAATCACTAGACTGCCATACTGCGTCGCGTACAGACCGGAGCCACCCACATTCCCCAATTTCATCAGCGCCTCACTCACAGGACCGCTGGCAACGTTGCCGACGCCTCGCCCTAGACACAAGAAGGAGAAGACCATTGAGCTTTCCATCTGGCCCGTGCTTCGCTGCACCGTTCTCAAGATGCCCGGCCATGTATTTGTGAAGCTTCCTGCAAACAGGCCATAGACGAAGCAGAAGACGAGTAGTGGCGGCAGCGAGGTGCTGAAACCCCAGACCAGGAAGACGGAAAGCACGGTGCCGACGGTGGAGATGAGGATGGCCGTCGTGACGTGTGTGCGATCTACAATAGTTCCCATAGTCACGGACCCTATAACTGCGGCAATGTTGATCATAATAACCGGCAGGGATGATATAGTGTGGTTGAAGCCCAGGGCCTTGGTGTACGTCGGTAGGTAAATGGAAGGTACAAAGAAGCCGAAACCCTGCAAGACATTGCCCAGCTGAAGAATCCAAAAGGACTTGTTCGACAAGAAAGTAAGGGTAACTCTTGTGCGGGAAGTAGCAGGGACTGGGAGGCGAGGTTTCAAGAAGAGTGCCAGGGGAAGAGTGGTGACGAAGAGCACAATTGCCCAGACGCGTAGAGCGGTGCGAAAGCCGTACTGATTTAGCAGCCATTGCAGTAGTAGAGGAATGACGACGCCTCCTAAGCCGGTCCCAGCCCACATCATGCCAAACGCAAGGCCCTTTTTCTGTACGAACCATTCGTCGAGAAAAGTGACAACGGGGCTGTATCCCACCGCCCCGCCGATACCGTAGAGGATGCCTTGGGTCACGACGAGTTGTGGTACCGTGTTACACAGGGAACTCAACCCAAGTGAGATGGACATGAGGAAGAATCCACCAAGCATGGTTGCTCTCTTGTACTGTGGCCAGCGTATCATTGAGCCGAATGTGAGGGGGGCGACCATATACAGTATGCCCATTGCTGAGGTACCAATGGCTGGAATACCAGAAGAGCCGGCAAATGGCTCGGATGCGCTGTAGTACTCCTGGAAAATACCATATGACCATGGAAACCCTGGCAACTGTTAACTACACATATTGGGCAAATGCGCGTGCTGCCAAAGGGAGACGCTGGTCTCGGTAATATCCGGAGTACTTACCCCAAACCATAAATTCGACTGCAAAAGCCGCTGCTAGCATCAACCAGGCATCTTTCCCACCATCAGTTGGTGGTAGTGAACTCTCATGTTCTGATTGTTCGTTCCATCTTGCGATGGTATCAAGTTCAGCTTGTGATAGGTTCCCCCGAGACGCAGGTGTAGTTATGAAATCTAATTCAGATGTTGCCATGTTGCTATGAGAGTGCAGAATGTACTCAAAGCTGCGAACTAGAAGAGTCACTTGCTCATGGCAAAGAAACACCCTTATACATAGATGATATCAGTTGGCATATTATACTTATTGTTCCCGCCCAGCATTCGATAGAAATGGCAAGTTTTCCCATCAAGGTTTGTCGAATTGCGTAGCTGTCCAGTCTACACCATATCTAGTGCATTGAACTTTGCACCCAGAAACAGAAATCAGATCCATTGACCAAAAGCGGGGTCATGACTGCAGTGGTCGAAACGTGACCGTTGAGTGTCGATGCGTGTCTAAGATCGAGGTCTGGAACCATTTCGGAATGAGCCAGGCGACCTTTGGCACTCCGAGGTGCAGCAATACCGAACAATCATACTGGACATGCTGTATGTGCAAATTGAATATCTAAAAAATCGGGGTTTGTTACAATAGCGATGCAGAGCTTGCGGCCGGTGAAAAATGAATGTGAAATAGACAAGAATGTATGTTGATGGCATAAGAACATGGGGTGCTTGACAAGCCTACATAACTCCGGCGCTAGCTCTGCTCAATTCCGACGACATCCCCTCTTTTGTCGCTTATCGATATGCAGCATCAGCACAACCCGCCCTCCTCCAAAGAAGATGGAGCCAAACTGTTTCTGATTGATCCAGCAGAAACCCCTCCTTTCAACTGTGTGCCTCATCGTCATGTGTGAAGTTTAAACCCCATGGTGATTCAAGTGTCCTTTGTCATATTCAAGAAACCTAAATCAGCAATGAACGTGTGGAATATATGGCCGGGGGTGACCCTGACTAAACTGAGATAAGGCCTGTAGAACTGGTGTATACATGGAATGTGAAACCTCCCGTTTCATGATTGTCATGACTATTATGACATCCTCTCCTGATTTGACTTTACCCTATTTGCTGGCATTGGCAGCCGTATTGACTCTTATTCATGTGTAAATAAGCTGAGATCTTGCTGACCAGACGGCCGATGTCAGCGCCGAGATTAATATAAGAAACACAATTAAAAGCCACCGAAACAAGCCGCGGACACGACAATGCTTATCTTCAGGACATGCAACATGAATAATTACATGGTCCGTCTCCGTCTTTTTAAAGTCTCAGTTTCGCGGGGCTTTCCAGAGAACCTGTCTTCCGCATGCTTCTTTACTTACATGTCTCTTTGATCTTTTGCCACTGCATAGAATGGCTGCACTGCTGCTCAATACGAGTTTAGAATTAAACGCTTACTGACTCACCGCCGCCGATCATAGAATGCGTCTAAATCGAGGACAAAAAGAAAGGTGAAAACAGCAGAATCCCCGATAAATCAGAAATTGGGAGTGAGCCTTGCACACACTGTGATACTTGGATCACCTTTGTAGAGCATAGTGGCGGCCTATATATTTCGGAGACCAGGGCCGCTCATTCTTGAACCATTCATGTTTTCAGGCAAGCGCGCTGTGTCGAGTAGTTAATGTTGATGGCTAAAATAGCCTAATGGTTGGCTGCAGAGCCCTAGGTCAGGTTGGTTGTGACTTTGGGTAAAGTAGCGCCTTGGACACAACGCCTGCGCTCACATATAGGCACGCACGGGTCTTCGGAGTGAAAGGCTCTTCTAGTCGACGCACGGTATATGCCCATTTTTTGTGGCAGAATCGAGTCTGTCATCAAGGCGATGTCTGCGCTTTAGCCATAGCTGACCACTGAGATGTCCACTAACGTGTGCAGACACTGGCTCTTTAAAGGCGCGTCTCTGTTCTGCTTACACGCAAGTGGGAGATTAATACATCAGCAACCCATGCCACCGAGTTACATGGTTAACTGCTTCGGTGGAGCGTCACCACAACTTTACTCTCCTGCGCAAGCGTTAGCTCCTCAAGGTGATGAAGCAGTCGTAAACTGAGGATATTTGAGCCGTTGGACGTGGGATGTGGTGAACAGATTGCCATATAACCATGAATTCGTACGCGAGCTTACAAATGCTCTGTGTCAATCAACACTTACGTGGACCCGCCTGTCTACATACTTGAATCAAAAAATGAAGCGCAACTTAAACGAAGCATTTGGCCAATGTGCTAGAAGAAAATGACCGGATCAGCTTGCAGTTGGCTGAGCCCGGGTAAAGAGTCATGTATGACAGTACAAAAGATATCGTGTGACGCTGGCGGATCGTCCTGCTTATCCGTCAAAGGCGTAAGCCGCACGTTGCGCACCTGATTTTTGGCTTCTGGACTCAGATGGCGAATGAAATCCAGAACAGGCAGATAGTTGAACGCATAAAAATGAAACTGATTCTCAGAATACAGCACTGAAAGGCATTCGTGGTAGATGAGCCGGTTCGTCCGTAGAATGTCGAGCGTAAGATGCTGATCGGGGTGCGGACGGCAGATCTTGTTCCACTTTCTGCTTATGGACCTCGAGTCGCAATCGGTGTATAAGATGAAGCGCTTGTTTGACGATGGCAAAACATATCTGAAGATCTCTCTCCGGATTTCGGATGGAATGCGAAGCAATGGAGGGTAGTTGTCCAAAGGCGAGATTGTCTCTGGTATAGATAATTGCTTTTCTACAGACTCTCTTGAAGGACGTGCCAAGCGCCGTAAGCGGATGTCGTCCGTCGGCCGCGGTGTTGGTGCCATCTGCACACCTGTTAGCACTCTTATTGGGAGCCGTCTCTACCAGACAATCGGACCTTTTTAGCAGATGTCTTGGCCGGCATACTTGTGCTGATGTTGTCCACGAGCAACCGCTTTCAGGAGCAGCTGAGACAAAAGCAGATTCAGATCTAGATTCCGATCGCATTCATGAATCGAAAAAGCGGTCACGAGGTCACGAGGGGCCGTTGATAATGTCACTACAGAGCAGGGCAGCAATCGGATGCGTACACTGTGACGATATCTCAACAGGGTAGCGAAGGTCTTCCGGGAAAAGGGACGGCAGCCGGCGAAGTCGTGGTACAATGCATGGAAGGACGGTAGAAGGTTGGAGGGAAGTTGGTCGGAGGCAGGCTGCGCACGGTCCGACGGTCTTGGCGAAAAGAGACGTGCCCTGGAAAATTCATGGGACGCGTCTGCGGGGGACCAACTTCCAGGTGCGCATAGCTCGACCGGACCCCTCACACACAACACTGCCAGCTTTGTTCGAGTTGCAGAGCGTTCAACGGCCTCCTTTTTAGTTTTTTGCATTTCCAAATTCCGTCAACATGTCGTTCGGCGGCCAGACGCCCACGATTGTGGTGCTGCGGGAGGGTAGGTGCCTTGCAACTTTTTGTACAGGATCCGCTGACAATTGCAGGCACCGATCAGTCTCAGGGCCGGGGACAAGTCGTCTCAAACATCAACGCCTGCCTTGCTGTGCAGGCAACGATCAAGGGGACATTGGGTCCTTATGGCGGTGACCTGCTCATGGTCGATGAGAATGGCAGGCAGACAATCACAAATGACGGTGCCACAGTCATGAAGGTAGACTAAGAGCTGGAAGCCTCGCTTGGAAGCCACGTCTAATTCGTGTACAGCTCCTCGACATCGTTCACCCTGCCGCCCGCGTTCTCACCGACATTGCACGATCGCAAGACGCCGAAGTTGGCGATGGCACCACGTCCGTTGTTGTGTTGGCAGGAGAGATTCTCAAGGAGATCAAGGACTTTGTCGAGCAAGGAGTCAGCAGTCAGACCATCATCAAGGGCCTGCGGAGAGCGTCCAACCTCGCCGTCAACAAGATTATGGAAATCGCCGTCGACACGGCCGAGGGCAACCAGCGGGATACGCTTCAAAAGCTGGCCGCCACCGCCATGAGCAGCAAGCTGATCCACAGGAACGCCGAATTCTTCACAAAGATGGTGGTGGACGCAGTGCTCTCGCTCGACCAGGAGGAGCTGAACGAGAAGCTCATTGGAATCAAGAAGATTACTGGTGGAGCGCTCCAGGACTCTCTCTTCGTCAACGGTGTCGCTTTCAAGAAGACGTTTGCGTACGCCGGTTTCGAGCAGCAACCGAAGAAGTTCAAGCAGCCCAAGATTGTGTGCCTCAACGTCGAGCTCGAGCTCAAGAGCGAAAAGGACAATGCCGAGGTACGGGTGGAGCAGGTCTCGGAATACCAGGCGATTGTGGATGCGGAATGGCAGATTATTTACAACAAGATGGAGGCACTCTACAAGACAGGCGCCAAGGTTGTGCTCAGCAAGCTGCCTATTGGTGACTTGGCGACACAGTACTTTGCGGACCGCGATATCTTCTGCGCTGGACGAGTAGCGGCTGACGACCTCGATCGCGTATGCCGAGCAACAGGCGCGAGCATTCAGTCGACGTGCTCTGACATCCAGGCCAAGCACCTCGGAACCTGCGAATCGTTCGAAGAGCGCCAGATTGGTGGGGAGCGGTTCAACTTCTTCGAGGGGTGCCCCGAGGCCAAGACGTGCACACTGGTGCTCCGAGGTGGCGCAGAACAGTTTATTGCCGAGGTGGAGCGAAGTTTACACGACGCCATCATGATTGTCAAGCGCGCCATCAAGAACAGGAATATCGTTGCGGGCGGTGGAGCGGTGGAGATGGAAATCTCGTCATTCCTGCACAACTATGCCGACAGCAACATTCCGCACAAGCAGCAACCTATCATCAAGGCGTTTGCAAAGGCGCTCGAGGTGATTCCCAGGCAACTGTGCGACAATGCGGGTGTGGACGCAACGGACATCCTCAACCGACTGCGCGTGGAGCACAAGAAGGGCAACATCTGGGCGGGTGTCGACTTTACCACGGAGAGCATAGCGGACAACATGGAGAGGTTCGTGTGGGAGCCGAGTCTGGTCAAGGTCAATGCTCTGCAGGCAGCGACGGAGGCGGCGTGCCTGATTCTGAGCGTTGACGAGACGATAAGTATGCAGCGTGTTGGCCATATTGCAAGAGACGCGTTACTGACGGATGTGTGCAGAGAACCAAGAGTCACAGCAGCCACAAGCACCCAACAAGCCGCTGCCCCCTGGCGCAGCACAACGGGCGCTGGGCGGGGGTGGTCGAGGACGCGGCCGCGGCATGCCCAGGCGGTAAAGAGTCGAGGGTGAGGGGAAAGAGACAATGTATACCATGATAGAGAAAGGCCTTGGCTTTGCCGCCATCAAGCCCAGCTGTCTATGAATAATACGATAAAGAGACGACCCAAAAGACGATGCCTCTCGTATTACGCTTGTGATTATGTCTAAACCTTTACATGGCTGAAGATCTAAGTTAGCCCAGTGATTGGAACTGAAAAAGTGTTTATGTATAAAACGAAATGATGCAGTGTCTAATTAGGTAGGGTATGTGGAGACAGATGCTCAGTAGTCCTTGATGCCCCTCTCTTCCCAAGCCATGCCATAGCTCTTGACTCTGCTAAAGTAAAACGCACGATCGTTCTTGAGGGCAAACTCGGCCCAATCATCAGTAAGGACATTGTAGCTCCAGTAGCCCTGCCAGACGAGCTTGTTATTCTTCGAGCTGCGGCCCGCGTTGCCGAGCGTAAGCGCCATTTTGTAAATGTACTTTGGGGTAGCGCCAGGCGTCTCGATGTGCAGGGTTCCTTCTTTTTCCCCTATAGGCTCGTCGTCGTCGGAGGCGGTAACAGTAGGCGAAGAAGGGACTTGGGGGCCGCTGAGGCGCCATCGGCCGAGAACGGCGTCTTTCATGGCGGCCGTGGGGAGGTTGTGGTGGTTTTTGTGCAAGTGCTCAATGTACAGGTAGGGAACTACGTCTGCGGGCTCGGTCGTGGTCAGCAGCGAGATGCAGGTTCCGTCGCGGAGGAAGCGCAGGTAGCGGAAGTAGGTGACGATGTGGATGGGCGAGTTCCACGTCGAGGTTGTGGGCTGCGCCTGGCCGGGGCGCGCGTAGTTGACCGTGCTGATGTAGCAGCCGTTGAAGCGGATGCGTGGGCGCTGTCGAAATAGCGTGCGGTATGTGGGATAGGGCGTGGGGACCAGCAGCTGGGTGAGGGCTACGGGCGAGGGAGGCTCGACGGCAGCGAGCTGGTCCATGTCGTCTGAGTCGGAGAGATCGAGGTTGGCGGTGCCCAGAAGGAGGCTTTCGTCGTCTTGGAGCGGCTTGCCGCCAATACCACAGGTCCATGTGTAGTGCATGGCTGCGAAGCCGTACTCGTTTCCTAGGGCTAGGCGCTTCCAGACTCGCTCTTCGGTCGTGACCAGGTATGCGAGGCGTTTGCATACTTGAGACAAGCGGACGAAGGAGGCTACGTCTTGCACGGCGAGCTGCTCTAGGATTTCGACTAGGATTTCCTCGGGAAGGCTGGCAATGGGACATGGTGGCGCGGGGCTGAGGTCTGTTGGGGCGGGCTGACCGAGAATAGACGTCTTGGAGTATTCACTGATCAGCGTCTGCAGCGAGGAGGACAGGCCATGCAGGGAGTGGTGGGCGGCATTAGGTACTGTGTCCGGGGCATTGGAGGGATTGGGGTCCTGGGGTTTAGGTGCGGGTGCGGGTGCAGATGCCGATGCCGATGCCGATGCCGCTGCTTGCTGTGCTTTGAGTTTCTTGAAGTAGGATGGGGGAAAGTGCTTTGCTTTGTATGTTTCTTGCACTCTCGAGTCGAGCTATCCGAGGTCAGACGAGTATGTCAAGGTACAGTGACGCATATTCAACGCACCTTGAAAGCTTTCCGGTACAGGTCCACACTGTCGCCCAGGCGGCCCTGGCTCTCTCTTTCTACGGCCTTTTCGTAATGCTCGAGGGCAGACTGGGGTTCTTGGCCCTGGGCGAGGGCGGCAGCTGTCTGGGCGCTGGTCTCGTCCAGTCTCCGGCCATGTTGCTTTTCGCCAAGATCAGGGTATATGTAAGAAGACACCTCGTCGCCGCCCTCGAGACTCAGTTTCCGGGCATGGCCATGGGGGTGTGAATGTGGTGCATGGGCTTTGGCTGCATGGTGTCTGCTGGAAGATGCGGTGGCGGCGGCCTTTGATGGGCCAGCGGATGAAGCCGGGGCCTTTGCCTTTGAGCGGGCCGTGACCTCCTCTCTCCACTTCTGGCGGAAGGATTCCAGCTCGGCCTCGGTGTTTGGGGCGGGGGGCGTATGTGTAGGGCGGTCCATGGTGTGTGTAGTCGTAGGTACTCTGGGCAGGGCGGAGGTAGGCAGCGGCTAGCAGCGGTAAATCCGAGGCGGCACGTGGTCACGGGAAAAGCAGGGCAGGGCAGGGCGGGGACGGTCCGGAGCGCTGGATATCTGTGTCGGATGTATGTAGACAGCGGCACGTGTATTTAACAGCACCCGGGCAGCGGGCGTTGGCGCCGGAAACACACCGGGTCAGGCTGGCAGCAGCTGTGAGAGTGAATGCAAGGGCGCACGCGCAAGAAGGGCGTCGACGTCTGCGGTGCAAATGCAGCCAATTGCGCTGACAGACGCCACCGAGGCGCCATCTGATAAGCAGCAACGCCCTTTGCAGCGCCAGCCAATGGCGGCGCGGGGGCGCGGCGCAACCATGACGCGCCAAAAGCCTGCAGTGCCGCCCGCCGATAATTATTCAGTCTGCAAGCGTCAAAGCGCCGCCCTCGCCATCGTCACCACTTGCTCGCCGCCATCAGCGCTCCCACTCCCACTCTCGCATCGCCCACTATGCACTCGCGGCCCCTTCCCCATCGCCGGGCTTAGCACCCGCAAACCCACTCACCCGCCCTCGCATCCTCGCACATCACTCCCACTCCCGCTCTCTTCCACTCCACCACCACTATCAACATCACCACCACCACCATGGCCACGGCCACTGCGCGCGCCCAAGAGGCCGACGCCGATCCCGCCAGCGACGTCTCGCTCGGCCAGAAGATGCTGTCTGCCGTCTCGGGCAGCCTGCTCACCTCTCTACTAGGTATGTCGTCTGTCTTGCCGTGTTCCCCGCCCTCGCCCTGCACACTCGGGTACTCGTCGTCGCCTCCCACATGCCATTCTGACTCCCACAGTCACTCCGCTCGATGTCGTCCGCGTACGGTTACAGTCGCAGGAGTCGGTTTCAACCGCCCCGTCACGGCAATCCCCCGCCACTGGCTCAACACTGGCTCAATTCCGCCATGTGCCTCCCAATCTCGGCATATCGGCGTGCTGTCGCGAAGTTTTCTGGATGAACAACAAGGCGCCCTTCTGCGTAGCAGGCCCGACCATGGCACCCATCAACCCCGCAGACCTCAACTGCGCCGTAGAAGAGGTGGAGCGCAGAACCATCAACAGTACTTGGGACGGATTGCGCAAGATCGCCCAGAACGAAGGGCCGCGCACGCTCTGGCGGGGCCTATCTCCCACGCTGGTCATGACGGTCCCAGCCAACGTCATCTACTTTGCCGGATACGATTGGCTGCGCACAGCCAATGCATCACCATTACGGCAGAACATTGCTGATCCATACATACCCCTCGTGGCCGGCGCGACTGCCCGCGTACTCGCTGCCATCGCCGTCAGCCCCATTGAAATGTTCCGCACCAGAATGCAGGCTGCCCATCACCCGGCCTCGGCGGCTGGCCATTTCCGCGAAACACTGGACGGCCTCCGGACCATGGTTGCCGACCAAGGTGTCTTAAGTTTGTGGAGAGGCCTCACATTGACCCTTTGGCGCGACGTGCCCTTTTCCGCCATCTACTGGTGGGGCTACGAAACCACACGCAACGCCTTGACAGATCAACGAGGAAGGAGGCAGGCAAGAGATGGCGGCTTTGAATTCCGCATGGGTCGCGGCGAGCAAATGACACAGAGACGAAGCCGGTCCAGGAGCCAGGAAAACCACCGCGATACCTTGGTTGATAGCTTCGTCGCTGGTGCCGCATCAGGAGCAGTCGCTGCGTTTGTCACTACGCCGTTTGACGTGGGCAAGACACGACAGCAAGTTGTGCGCCACGTGGGTGACGCTGCACGCGACGCTGCCAGGTCCACACGCCCAGAGGACAAGTCTATACCACGCTTCCTGATGCACATCTACCATGAGCAAGGCATGCCTGGGCTATTCAAGGGCTGGGCTGCCCGGTGCTTGAAGATCGCCCCAGCCTGTGCCATCATGATCAGCTGCTACGAATTCAGCAAGAAGATAGCCCTCGACATGAACGAACGAAGAGAACACGAACGACACCAAGCTTGAGCCCGGCCTTGCGCTGTTGTATACACACCCACGGCTCATGTAATTACTTTGACATTTCACGGCGGCGTATGGAGGCATGGCGGATCAACCCCCTCTCGGTTGCATTAACGGCGTTTGTCGCAAAAGGGGCGACTTGTACTATGACAAAAAAGTTCCGGTCAATGTCTACGGACATGTGACTTGTATTATGAGGTGGTATTGTAGAAATTACGACTTTTGGTTTTGCTTCACAGTGCCTTTCTATTTGAGATCCTCCAAGAATTTCATGAACGCCTGCTGACACTTTTCTGCTTGTGTGACATAGATTTCATGCCCGGGCCCATCAATCAGCACCAGTCGACTTCCTTCAATTATCTGCTTCAAGTCTTCCATATCTGAGGTCTTGACAGCTGCGCTTTGCGTTGGACTCAGTATCAGGGTTGGCACTTTGATCTTCTCCAGCCAAGACCGAGTGTCCAGCGTCGATAAGAACTCGGCGTACTGCGCCAGCCCCTCGCCATCGCTGACGGCCACCTGCTCCAGGTACCACGGCAGATAATCAGGATCGGAAATTGGAATCGTTCCAGGTATGCGCGCGAGTGCTTCTGTCCATCCCCGCGACCCCAGCTGACGACACGCTGTTGGCCAGTCTTTCTCGTCAAATGCAAAGAGGCGGAGAGCTGGAGGGGGGAGATGTGTGGGCGTTGAACATATAGTCAAGCTCAGGAGTCGCTCTGGAAACTGAGCCGCCAGTATTTCGCCCAGCATTCCGCCTGTTGACTCGCCCAGGAAGTGCACTTTTTCGATTCCCAACTGGTCCAGCGTATCTACAATCTCTCCCAGTATGGTATCCACATCATAATTGTACTCGCTTTCCTGTCTTGCACCGTTTTGGTCGTTCTCCGCACTTCCTGGTGGCTTTGGAGCCGGATAGCTGGAATACCCATGACCCCTCAGGTCTCTCCTTACAACGCGGTACTTCCGGGCCAACACAGGGATCCAGTGGTACCAGAATGCAGCATGTCGGCCAAAACCATGCTGGATCAAGATTGTCTCTCGCGGCTTCCAGGGATCGGTAAAGTCATCGAGAATGTAGTGGGACCGCTGGCCATTGGCATGAACCACAAAGGTTCTACCAGACAGATGGCGCTCAAGTGGCATTGGTTTGTTAGTGATGACGCTGCTTCGACAATGCGCCTTGGTGGCCGACAATAGAGTTTTGATTGCTCCTAGCGTAGCAAAGAGTACCTCCGACTCGATGAGTCTCCTCAGATGAACAGTCTAGAGCGTCCATGCGCTAGGATGCTGCTCCACGCGTTTGTGGGGCAATGCGGGGAAGCTGCAGGGGTTGGGCATGGCCTGCGTGTACCCCAACTGTAATCCAGCTGAAACGGCCTCATGGTCTTGTCAACGAGGGGAAGTCTGAACCAAATGCCGGAGTTTCCGAGTAGGAGGTCAGAACATCAATCGAGAGCTTCAAGCAGATCCAAATTCACACTTTGATATCTGGACTCTGCGCCAACGTATTCATCAGTCCTACGCAATGGTGTTCTTGAACCTCGTCGAGAATGTGTGGAGGCAGGCGCTGTATCTAAAACTCTTAGCATTCGTTGCTGCGTCGATAGTAGCCCTTTTGGCCGCCTACTTCATCATTGTCCCAAATGTCATCAAGGTACCATGCCCATCCTCTAGATTCAACATCAACTAACCAGCTTCAAACAGGATCCACGACGTCGAAATCTCCCACCTGGACCCAAAGGCCTTCCATTCATCGGTTCCCTTCTTGAATTTGCTGACACCGAAGTCGTACGCGCCAAGGTCATTGCCTGGCGCCAGCAATATGGCGATGTATTCTATACCAAAATAGGAGGCACAGATTACATCTGGCTGTCATCCCCTAAAGCCGTCAAAGACCTCATGGATAGAAAATCTGGCATCTACTCCTCGCGCGCCCCCTCCCCTCTAGCCCAGGACGTTGCCTCAGCAGGTCGCCGCCAACTCTTCATGCCATACGGCCCACGCTGGCGCAGCATCCGGAAACACAGCCACACGCTGCTGAATCTGGCAACCAGCACCAAGTACGAAGGCATCCAAGACTTTGAAAGCAAAGTGCTTCTCAAAGAGCTACTCCAGGATCCGGACGACTTCATCTCCATCAACCGCCGGTACTCGGCCAGCGTCATCATGCAAGTGACATATGGGTACCGGATCCCGAGCTTCGACGACGAGCTCATCAAGCGCATCTACGGGGTCCTCGGCCGCTTCACCGAAATGACTGCACTCGGCGCGTGGGCCATTGAGTCGTTTCCGTCGCTCACGTGGCTCCCGCAGATGCTGCTGGGCAACTGGAAGACGCATGGCCGCCGCATCTTCGAGCAAGACAGCGCCGTCTACCTGAATCTCTGGAACCGGCTGAAGCGCGAGACGGATGCCGGCACCGCCAAACCCTGCTTCACACGCACCTTTTACCTCAACAACCCGGAGAAGGCGGGCATCGATGACCTCGCCGCCGCGTATACATACGGTGGTCTCATCGAAGCCGGCTCCGAGACTACGGCGACAACGCTCAACAACTTTGTGCTGTGTATGCTGCTGTTTCCAGAGGTGCAGGCGAGGGCCCAGCAGGAAATCGATGCTGTTGTGGGATCTGGACGCCTCCCTACGTGGGGCGACGAGCAGAATCTCCCCTATGTGCGCAGTGTCATCAAGGAGGTTCTTAGGTGGAGGCCAGTCAACAAATTTGGCATGCCGCATGCCAGTACGGAAGATGATTGGTACGAGGGCTATTTTATCCCCAAGGGGAGTGTAGTCGTGTTGAACTGGTGGTGAGTTTTCTTCTCTGACCCTTGCATCCTCTATCTCCCTTCTTTCCCCTTCATCCTCTGTTCTACCAGCCGAGCACCTTCTCACGTACCAATCTACGCAGGGCCATCCACAACGACCCCAAACGCTGGTCCAACCCCTCCTCCTTCGACCCCTCACGCTACCTCAACCACACCGAATCTGCCGCCCACTACATGACGGTCACAGACCCCTACGAGCGCGACCACTTCTCGTACGGCGCCGGTCGCCGCGCCTGTCCCGGCGTCCACGTCGCCGAGCGCTCGCTCTTCATCAACATCTCCCGCGTCCTGTGGGGTTTTTCAATCGCAAAGAAGAAGGATAAGAATGGCATTGAGATTCCTGTTTCTGATAAGATGGTACCGGGGTTCTTCAGCGTCCCGGATACTTTTGAATGCGATATCCAGCCTAGAAGCGAGATGCATGTAAAGGTGATTCGGGGGGAAAGCGACAAGGCGGAGAAGTATGGTGTGGACTTGTGGTAGCGAAGCGCGATGATTGTACGGATTGGGAAATGACTTGGTGGCGTGGGCGTTATCAAGGGGAGGTATTACTTGTAGGTGTATGTTGTGGTTGATTGCAATATCCCCATATACGTGGTTAGTTATGTCACTGGAAATTCACGGCTCTACTATGTTGAGCTACAAAAAAGCAATAAGTAAGTAGATACACTATCAGGCCTAAGCAGTAGTAAAACTACTAAATATTCATCCACTTCTATCCAACATGATGCCCTAAGCCTTCACTGCACTTTGATATATACATCAACCCACACACACACACCTCCACATGCACAACACATCCCCATATTCCCACACACACACACACACACAACACTAAAAGTCCTACCTACAACTTCGCATCATACCCCTCCCTCTTGGGCGGCTCCTGGTAGCCCAAATCCCAAATCCTACCACTCTGCGTCCCAATCCAGCGCTGACTCTCATTCGGAAAATCCACCTGTTCTCTGAAAAACAAGCTGTCCTGCGACAACTCGACCGCCTGGCCCGTTATTTTCGGATCATCTAGGAATGCGTCGATGGCTTTCGTGACGGTGGATAAAGGGGTAATGTGTTCCTTGGGCCAGCGCGCGGCGATGGCAGGGGGACAGAGGTTGGTGGGGATGAAGGCGGGGCAGATTGCGTTGATGGAGATGTCGTCGGATGTGAAGTTTGGGGCGCTGGCGCGTACGAAGCCGATGACGGCGTATTTGCTGGCGGTGTACTGTGGGCATTGGGGCATGGCGCTGGGGGTTTTTTTTTGATGTTAGCTTGAAGTTATATCCCTTTGAAGATGTCTTCTTCTTCTTCTTCCCTCCAAAAGACCAGGAAATACAAGTACTTGGAAATACAATCAAACTTACTACAACCCCGCCGCACTACTCGTAGCCAAAAACCAGCCCCTCCCACCGCCCGCCTGCTTGCTGCGCCGGACATAATACTTGAAGAGCCAGAGGCCTTGAATCACAGCCTCAAGATTGACCTCCAATGTCTTTGTATTGAGTTTGCGCAGCAATCCCTCATCATCCAGCTCTTCTTTCTCCATGGGCTCGAAGATATTCTGGCGATCGTCAATGCCGGCATTCGCGTGGCAGAAATCAAGCCGGTTGCCGCCCCATTCGTACGCGCGCTTGAAGAGCCGTGCTTGCGAGGCATAGGATGACACGTCTGTGAGATGGAAGAGAGCATCCGGGCCCAGGGTAAGTGCTACGCGCTCGCCTGCGGACGCGTTCATGTCCGCGATGACGACTTTGAAGCCGCGTTTGTACAGATGCGTGGCGGTGGCTTCGCCGATGCCGGAGGCGCCGCCTGTTACGATGGCGACGGGCTTGGACATGGTGGTTGCTGGCGTGCGGCGCAGTGATGTGTGGTTGGGGAAGTAAGTTCCAGAGGGAATTCGACGACTTTGGAGAGAGAGAGAGAGAGAGAGAAATCCAGGATACTATGTTTTTATCAGTATCGAAGGGTTGTTACTTGACCAATATCCAAACTTCTGTTGTGTTTCTCTCTTGAAGTATTTTCCCTTCTTTTTCTCAACTCTTTTGAACCTTGGGGGAAGAAACTAGTTACTTATGCTCAAATCAATCAAGAAAGGCAAAAGAGGAAGTCAAAAAAAAGGGAAACGAAAAATCTAAAAATCCGATCCCTCCACAGTACTTTATAAAACCCCCTCAAAAATAAATGAAAGCCACGATGGGGAAATAAGTACTACCCCCCCCCCCCCGGAATTGCCGGGGAAAGACCCCGCGTCACACCTATTCCCCCAAATCCTTCTTCTTCGGCTTCCGCCTGCCGTGCCGTGCAACAAAAAGAACAAGGTTTCCGTTGGAAAGAAAGGAAAAAATGTGCTTGGTAACAACTTAGTCAACCATCCCCCCCCCCGCTCCAGCTCGAGAACAACTAACAGGAACCGCATGATTGTAGCGACAAGTCAACACACACACACATACACATCTGCCGATTGGATAGCTGTCCCTTCCCACTTCCCACATGTACTGCAACCCCACTCGCATGCATACAGTGAACCTGTACATCCATCCATCCATATATCCATACATACATGCATGCATCGACCCAGCACCCATACCCATTACTTACTGCACGCCGCTGAAACCGGGGTCGGGTGTGGAGGGGAAAACGACCCCACATTTAGCAGGGTGGGGGGGGGGGGGGGGGGTGGAAAAGGACAAGCCGAAGTGCGGAGAAAAACAGCGCGGATGCGGGTGTAGGCACGAACACGGTGATACGTCCACGTCTGTGTGTGTGTGTGTGTGTGTGAAAGTATGTGTGTGCGGGGGGGGGGCGCGGCTCTGAGCATTCTGCTGAGTAAACTCATAACTTACTCGGTGTAAGTAAGCAAGCAAGACGTGTGGAAGAGTGCAAGCAATGGCGCAGAGCGGAAAAGAACAAGAAAAAGAAGAAGGTGTTGGGTAAAGGGTAAAGCGCCTAGCGGTATGCTACCGAGATTGGAATCAGGTTGGTGTTGTTGGTTGTTGGCGTTGTTGGTTCGTTGGTTGTTTCAGACCCGGGTTGAGCTTTGTATCTATGCATCGGTACTCTCAAGTCTCTCAAGCATACACTAAACATGTTCAGACACATACATTCAATACCAAGTCGAATCATCCACCTACTTGCACCTGTTGGAAAAACACAAACTATCTCTTAACATCAATACTCTTAACCAAATCTCCACCCAAGCGTCTAACCTCATGCACAATAGCTTCGCGGTTCGCCTTGATTTCCACTGCGTCCTTTTTACCAACAGGCGTGCTGTTCCACCCCGCCTTGATCTTCCAGCTCCTCTGTGCAGTGACCACGGGGTTCCACAGCCCCACAATCTTGTCTAGGGACTCGGGATCCCAGAACCAGAGCACCGTGTCGCCATAGACTTCGGCCAGCTCTTGTGCAAAGAGCTGGGGCAGAGGCGTCGTCGCTGCTGGAGACGGGCCGGCTAGTTTCTGGAGGTCCAGATTTTTGAACTGTGGTGTTGTGGATTTGCGCGATTTCGTGGACTTAAGACTGTATTTCGAGGAGATGGATATGACGAGATCAAACTCGGATATGCTGGGTACGAAGAGAGCTTCTGGCTTCATTGCATCGTGTGCCTTGGAGGCGTCTTTATTGTTGATGTGCCTCAACAAAGCGTCTTCATTGGCGCGAACAGCCTGTGTGGCTGCTTTCGTCAACGCAGTCAAACGCGTAGCAACAACTTTTTCGGGTTTCGCCTTATCTGTCCATGTTGTGCCTTCTTCATCAAGGTTGGTAGCTGCGAAAAGTACCACGCGGTTCATGGCAGGATCGATGCGTCGCCATGCTTCGAAGCGAGTCCGTAGACGGTCTAGATCTTCCGACTTCATGCCCCTCAAAGATGTGTCTTCCAGGTCTGCAGGATTGGCTGTAAAGGATGTCGAAAAGTCTACTATCAGAGGGACATGGCGCCAGTCCCATCGGCTGATCCACGACAATGTTCGTAGGAAAGCAGTCGTTGCAGTCGACGGCACCGGCCATGGTTGAGGTTGAAGAAATGTCCGTATAACCAGGAGCTCGATGAGCTCCGGTGAGAAGTGCGGCGCCAGCAGATGCGATGCAAACCATTTCTTCGTCAACCGTATGGCTGGTGAGAGTGCTAGAAAACGGGTGCAGAGTGTCTGCAGTGCTTGCGAGTGTTGGGGGGACTGAATGAATTCGCGTTTGTACAATGCCAAAGAAGACGCAGCAGACTCGCGCGAATGCGAATCCAATGATTTGTCCTTGATCTGGCGGTCGAACAGCGTAGGTTCGCGATCATGGTAGATGCGAATACGGAACGTAAATCCAGTTGCAACCGTCACGTCCAGGAATGCCTGGTTCTGAGCCGGCTGTGACGGGTTTTCCATGCCAACGCGGGCAACGTAACCAGTCTCCAATTTGTGTAGCAGCTCTGCAAGTCGGAGAAGGAAGGCGATCTTGGTCCGCTGGATGGCGCACAGGTCATCCGGCCAACGGCCAGAGCCTTCGAATTGCAACACGACCGATGCGGGAGCGTGGCCCGGAGCGGGAACTTCAATAGACGCATAACGCAATTGCGGATCGGCGGCTCTCAGGTGACGAAGCTGAAGTGGTAGCTCCTCCAGGTCCCGAATGTCTTTCTCCATGGCACTAAACGCGTTCATGATAGGAAGGAATGGCGCTGTCCCAGACTGTCCCTGCATATGGCCTGCTGTTATGAGGTGGCCAAATGCGTCGCTCGTGAACTTGGCTTGTTCGGCCACGGACCCAGCTACGTGCTTGCCGAGTATATAAAGAACAATCTGCTCCATGACGGACGCATCCTTGACTGTCCAGACAACACTTTCGAGAATACTCCCATCCTTGAAGCGCCTGAGCTCAGCCTTCTCGCCCCAGAACTTGCGGAAAATGGCTGCCTCCTGCTTGTTCTCTGCTGGAGGCCCATGGTCCACGGTGCGGGTAGCGTTTGCGGGATCCGTGATGAAGCTGACAAGAATGCTCTTGGTTTGCTTTTCCTGGGGATGCCTTGATGAAACTGACCAAGTTTCTTCCTCTGGCATGGTGAATGAAATAGCTGTAATGCGATCGGCCAGCGCCCGGGTCAAAGTGCTGTGTATCTTTCGACAGGCCTCGCTCAGTTGTGAATCATACTCTTCACTTCCAGCTTCTAGACCCAGCGACGCAAGAGGAATCTCGAGTGTAGCATCGTATCGGTACTTGATCAGCTCAGTCTTTAGAATAAAGGTCGCGTCAAACTGATCAAAGACGGAGTCACTCAGCATATCGACGGTAGCTTTTGCTTCTGACTGCAGACGCTTGTATGACCAGGGTGTCATCTTGAACAGCACATTCTGCCCTCGTGGCCCATCAAAGACCACAGGCGCGGTCTCTGCCTTTGGAATGGTGATGTTGAATGCCTGGAAGATGAATGGCTTCTTCGTCAGGTCGCCGCGAGAAAGAAACTGAAGTGTCGACTTGAACAGCTGATAGCTGCTGAAACTAGAAGAAACCGACTGAGCTCCTGTTCCGGCATTTGGCTGGAGGAGAATCGCCATAATGACAGCCCATTCAAAGTTTCCAAACCCTCCTTTACGAATCTGACTGCCAAATCCGCGTTGCCTCAGCCAGATGCGTCCAAGTATGCATGCATCCTTGAAAGCTTCGGCTTTCGAGCCCGTGGCATGAAGAAGCTTGAGGTAGGCCGTAATGTTTCCGTCAGACTGCAGACTGTTGTTGTAGAAAGGCGTGGCCGTAAGCGCTTTGCTGGAAGGTTCATCCTCGCTGCCTTTGGGCCGGACGCAGTTTGAGGCTGGAAGAAGCTTGCTCTGGGCAAAAGTGTGCTCTGATAGCGCTACCAGCACGTTGATCTGGCACTTTGAGCTAGAAAAGTCGTCGGCATCGCCGTTACCACTCGGTCGCACGACAAGAATGGGCTGGAGCTGGTTCCCATGCAGGCGGTCAAAGACCAAGTCAAACTTGTGCTCTTTCGAAGCCTTGATCCCAGCAGCCAAACAGGCCAGATAGTATGCGCGCTTGTAAAAGTATCGGTGATTGAGATAGTCCTTTTCTTGAAACAGAGTCTTAGGCATGGTGACGACAAGATCGATCGCAAATTTTTCCTCATTTCGGGTCGCGGTTTTCAAAGGGTAACTGCCCGTCGCGTTCACGCTTGCAGGTCGTTCATACTGTAGCTTGTACAAGGCGTCTTTGGGCGGGCGAGGGCTAGGGAACGGGACTGCAACACCAGCAGATTTGAGCGCTTTTTCAGCCTCAGCAATCTATAGCAGTTAGCATACGCTGTGGATATGCGGCATGGAATCGACTTACAGGAAGCGGGTCGCGGCTGGGTATCTGCTCGATTATGGTCTTGAGCGTTCGCATTGCGTTCTCGGCCGGAGCTTCCTTCTTGCCATACTTCAGTTTGACCTGGTCAAGCAGCTCGTCCACCTGAAGCTTGAACATGTTCGACTTGAACGAATCGGCTGTGTAGACACCGTCCTGGAGGCTGGGTGCTGGTCTCTTGGGCGCCTGCTTCGGTGCGCTCGTGGCTTTGCCGCTCGAGGTCTGCTTGCTGTCTTCATGGACACTCTCGTCGCCCTCCGAGTCTTGCTCCTCTTCGCTCATGTCTTCATCTTCATCGTCATCCATCTCTTGTGCGCCGTCTTTGGAAACGTCGCTCTCGCTTTGCGCATCTCCAGCGTCGTTTCCATCCGAGTCGACACTGCCATTGGCCTCGTCAAAGTCGGCAAAACTTCCCTCGCTTTCGGCTTCCGAGTCGCTGTGCTCCAGCTTTCTCCGTTTAATTGCGGGCGGGGCCATTTCGCGTCGTGGTGGTTGTCGCATGCGACGCGAAATTTCTCTGGAACTTTTCCCGCGGGAGTGCCTTATCGATAAGCAGGGTGGCAGGGATGTGGCGGGTGCGAGGTCACGACAGCTCATGCTTGCTCGTTACATCACCCCTCATGAAGGCGTCGGTGAGGGGAACAGCTTCTTCAACATAATCTTCCTTTACATTTCTACATAGCCATTCAACTGCTCCATGACTTAATGGAGATGAGATCACGCCCACCTTAATAAACTTTTTTCATTGCCTTCACATCCCGTATCACTATCCACAGTGCCGGTGCTAACAAAGCTCGCCCGCACTTGCGGCTCCTTTTCCATCAACTCTACACGCAGTAGCGTACCAAAGAGAGCCATCGGTATGGCTTGGAGAAGCTCTGGAGCCACTAACGAGGCTCTTGTTAATAATCTTGCGAAAAACCAGCTCATCCAGTCGGATAGGGTCCAGGATGCCATGCTAAAGGTATGAAGCACCAGCACCATGACCAGGCCGACAATTGACCAGTATATACAGGTTGATCGCGCGCACTATGCTCCGGCGTCGCCCTATGAAGACTCCCCCCAGCCCATCGGCCACCGCGCGACCATATCCGCACCGCACATGCATGCCTCGGCTTGCGAATCGCTCCTCGACTATCTCAAGCCAGGCTCCAAGGTCCTAGATGTCGGTTCAGGCTCGGGCTATCTAACCGCAGTCCTGGCTAACCTCGTCGCACCCAACGGCACTGTTGTCGGAATCGAGCACATCCAGCCGTTGAACGACCTCGCAGTAGGCAACATGTCCAAGTCAGAAGAAGGTCGTAGGATGCTAGAGTCTGGACAGGTCAAGTTTGTTACCGGAGACGGCCGAAAAGGCTGGGCTGAAGGTGCGCCGTACGATGCGATTCACGTTGGCGCTGCGGCTGCCGAACACCATGAGGCATTGACCGAGCAGCTCAAAGCACCGGGACGCCTGTTTGTACCAGTTGCAGAAGGCTGGCTGCAGCACATCTGGGTGATTGACAAGAAGGAGGACGGAAGCGTTGAGCGCCAGAAGCTATACGGCGTGCAGTATGTCCCCTTGACAGATGCGCCCGTGTAAGTTGCAGAGCGAGTTTGGACAGCGATTTCGAGACAGGGAAGGGGCTGGAATGACTAAATTGTACCATTATTGCCCCACGAGACCCTCAAACAGCTCGTCTCTTCTTCTCCGCACCTCGTCCAGCCTGACCTCTAATTTGCCCACTTCTTTCCTCGCAGCTTCCTTGTCAGCAGGCAGTCCGGCGAACTCTCTGACTTCCCGCTCTACCGCCTCGACCCTCTCGCGGAGCTCGTCTAGCGCCTTTTGCTGCTCCAACATGTCGTTTATGGCCTCGGCAGACCCAATGTTCTTGGAGCCTGGTGTCATGTTGCGCGACTGTGATGACTGCACAGACGATAGCTTGTCTTCGTACTCGCGAATCTTGGTGCGCAGGTGCTTGATTTGGCGCGTCTGCTCGGTGGTCTGGCGCTGCAGGGTCGGGGGCGTGGAGAAGGCGGGATTCGTCTGGATGTCGTGCAGCTGCGTGCGGAGGAGGGACTGCTGCTTATCGACGTAGCCCTGCAGCGCCGCAATGTGTGCAAGCTGGTTGGTGAGGTTCTGCGACGTGGTCGTGTTGTAGATGAGCGCATGCGCGATAGACTCGGGGTTGGCCGTGGGCGTGTTGAGAGCGACGGCGGTCGATGCCAGCGCATCGAGAGCCTGCTCGCCCTCGGGCGTGAGGCTGGCTCTCAGCTGCGACAGGATGCGCTCGTCGTGCTCGTTGCTTTGGACCTACCGTTGTGAGCAGCGTGCTCGGCGCACGGCAGTGCAAGCGGACCTGTAGCTCTCATACCTCGTCCAGCTCGCGCAGCGCCTCCCTCTCTACGCGCTCCATGACGGCTCTCTCTTCGTCGGCTCTTTCGTTTGCCACGGACAGCTCGCGCAGGGCCTTGAGCGTGTCATCGTTGCGCTCAAACGTCGGCACGGTGCGGCCGGCGTATTTGTATGACAGCCACAAGTCGATCTGCGCCCAGTCGTGGGCCTGGGCGCGTTGCTGGCGTGCCTTTGACGGCGAAAACAGGTCCGAGGGCGTGAGGGCGTCCATGGCTTTGTATGTGTGGAAGGGCGCGACGCCGATGTTGGCAATGTTTGGCGAATGCGTGGCAGAGACTCGCCCTCGCAACTCCAAGGTGGGGCCCGGGCGGGCTTGCACATGTCGCGGCGCATTTGGGCGCAGACGCGGAGAAAGGTCGAGTGCGAGTTGCATTACTTATCGATAACCTTCAAACTCTCCAAGTGCCGGTGCCGAAGTCGGAGCTAGCCGCCTTTTGGAATAATCGCTGGCTGCCATTCGAGTCATTGCGCCATTATATCTGTTTTGCTGGCCCCGTCACTGCCATGTTTCCCGTCTGCCAGTCTTACAATACCGCCTTTTTGCTGCTGACCCGCCGACAATGTCGCCCATGGTCCTCGAGAACGATGTAGAAGTGGGAGAAAGTCTGCCGCCAGCAACCGAGCACGTGCGTATCAAGTTTCGCCGCCCAACACGGCACCCGAGTCTGATATGTGACAGGCAGTCAGCGTCTCACTGCCAACATGGCGAGCAAATGTAGGCTACGAAGAGGGCGAGGAGTGGGTCCTCAGCAAGATGAAGACGGGCTATCCAAGGTACGCCGGTGGCGAGGCACGCATACCACGCCATGTACTGACTGCCCCAAGATTCTTCATTCACAAGATCATACAAGCCTTGGCAGCAACCATTGCCGACAAGTACGGACGTCCGGATGAGAGTGCCATGCTGTTCCCCACACATGCCATCGCGGCGAGATGTCAAGACTTCTTCTTCAGCCAAGCACCTGACCTGAATGCATCCCAAGTCCGCATCCTGGACTTCCTGCCCATAGGCGAGAAAGAAAGATCCCACGAGTTTGACATCATCTCTCCGCGCATCTCAGCCGTCCTCTTTCCAAAGGAGCGCTTCAGCATAGCAAAGGCCTTTTGGCAACATTCCGGTGACGGCGTGTCGAGCCGGAGAGCAGAGTACTGCGCCCAGCTATTTAAAGAAGGCACCCTCGTAGAAGCCTCAACACTCGAAACCCCACTACGAGTATCCAAGGGCCCTAGACGCTACCAGAAGAAGACATCAGTTGACCTCGATGCTTCGGCTGACCCCTCAAATGGCAACAGAGAAGTGCAAGACCCCACTCTGTTTGTCGAAGAGCGTTTCGGACGCAACCTGAGTCTCTCACAGGCAAAGAATGCCAAACTAGCCGTGCGAAGGCGCATCGCTGGCTCCTTGACCGCAGACGTTGGACTAACCGAAGCCATGGCGCTGGACCACGACGCAACAAGGAAAAGACCCGTCGCCGGCTTCTCAGAAGACGACGTCTACCTCTATCCCACAGGCATGAGCTCAATCTTCAACTCGCACCGCAACATCCTGCGCGCAAAAGGCGCAAAGAAATCCATCGTCTACGGCTTCCCATACATCGACACGCTCAAAATCACGGAGAAATTCGGCCCCGGCTCCCATTTCTACGGCTTCGGCTCTGCAGACGAACTCGATGATCTCGAGCAGCGCTTGAAATCCGGCGAGCAATTCGCCGCCCTCTTTACAGAGTTTCCCGGAAACCCGCTGCTGAAATCCCCAGACCTGGAACGCATTCGCAAATTAGCGGATACGTATGATTTTTGCGTTGTCGTGGACGAGACGATTGGCAATTTCATCAACGTCAATGTGCTGCAGTATGCAGATGTAGTCGTGAGCAGTCTGACAAAGGTGTTTAGTGGCGAGAGTAACGTCATGGCTGGAGGGTTCGTACACCTTTTTATTGTTGTAAGGCATAACTGGCACTAACAAAGATAATGAACAGTCTCGTGCTCAACCCCGAAGCAAAAAATTACCCCCTGCTCAAACGCACGTGGGACGAAGACTACCAAGACAACCACTGGGCCGAAGACAGCATCTTCCTCGAGCGCAACAGCAGAGACTTTGTCTCGAGAATCGAGCGTATCAACGTCAATGCTGAAGCAATTTGTGAAGTCCTGAGCTCACATCCTCGAGGTTCGTTTCTCTCTCCCTCTTCCATCTCCGCATCACCACCACCATCATTATCATTATCATCATCATCATCATCATCATCATCATCATCGTTATACTTTCTAACACCACCATTCAACCAGTCAAGCAAGTAAACTACCCCAAAACCTCGCCGTCCCGCCCCCACTACGACAAATGCCGCAATCCCAACGGTGGCTATGGCGGTCTGCTCTCAGCTACCTTCCACACCCGAGCCGACGCCATTGCCTTTTTCGACAACCTCGATACCGTCAAGGGACCTAGTCTGGGTACAAATTTTACCCTCAGCTCGCCTTATGTCATTTTAGCGCATTATGGGGAACTAGACTGGGTAAGCTTCTTTTGATTTCAATCATGCATGTTTATGTTTTTTTTTCTTCTTCTAGTTATGGATATGCCTGGCTAACGACTTTGGACATATACAGTGTGCTAAATGGGGTGTAGAGCAGGATTTGATTCGCTTCAGCGTGGGGCTAGAAGAGACGAGTAAACTGGTTGAGACGTTCAAGAAGGCGCTGGATGCTTTACCTGCGCAGGATGGCGCGGATGCAAACAAATAGTAGCATTTATGTAGTTTAACACAGCATAATATAGCAAAGTTCAGATACATAAAGCGTTTTGGGCGCAGTGACATGTTGGCTAGCGAGTCATTCGCACACTATACTAGCTCGTGTGTGTGTTGTCTTGTTTACGGAAGCCGCTCGGTCTAATATAAATATATATATGTATAGTCTGAAGTTAACTGCTTATCTGACCAGCAGCAAACCGCAGCACAGAACAGCCTAGATACAGGAGGGGACGTAGCTGAGTGATCTTCCGGACCCACAAAGTGTGGAGAAAGACGACATTGACATGCTAGTAAAAGTCAGATAAGCCCGTATCTGCAAGCAGTGCAAGGACAGCAAATCCCCAATGATTCGCATACAAGCTGCAGCGACGCTAGGCATTAGTTTCGGCGCTGTGCGGATGAAGAGAACGCAGAGCTTTAGGTTGTATTGTGTGCGTAATGAAGTCCACATTGAGTTTAAGCCAGCAAGAAGAAGAAGAAGAAGAAAAAACAAATCAACTGATAAGAGAGTGTCTGCTGATGATGAGCTGCGACCTCCATGACACGCGTAGGGTGTCATGTGGCACTATTCTTTCCCCTTCGGGCCTTTAGTAGTGCGCTGAAGTAGTGAGCTGAAGAGGCTAAGCAGTTTTCTAGACATAGTTTTTGTTTTGTTTTTGCAAAGGCCAGTCTTGAATTATCCGTTGGGCTTGGATCGGGAAAATATCGTATCGACATGCGAAAGATGTGGTTTTGCCAAGTCGATAGACATATGCAAGTTCCAGGCGGGGAAAGAAAGGAAATCGATCGATCGAGTTGAAGGAATGATTGCCGAAATGGAAAAAGGCATCGTGTTTTCTTTTTCTTTTCCCGCTTCAGCCAGGCTAGACGACATTGCAACGTGTCTGTCGGAATGGACAGGAACTTGTCGGAACGATAGCGGAGCCTCCGGTGTGGGTTGATGATAATGGTTGGATGCCTTATTGTTGTCTTCCGGATAGTGCAGACTTATACCAGATTGGGTTTCTTTAGGCGGTGTCCACGCAGCCGAAGATGCTTTTCCAAATTTCTTGTGGCCCTCGCTGCCGTCGGTCGTTGTTGAAAACGTCGGGGTTGCGGGTTGAGGCCTCTTTGGGATATGACAAGACCCACACCTGATCCTCCGTAGGATGCTTTAGCCGACGTCACAGCACCCTTGACATTCATGCCGTGCCTGCCCCATGCTATGCCATTGCTGTACAACATACACGCGCGCGGTCTGTTTGCAAACTGTCAAGCCCCAGGTGGAGCATGACGGAGGCCACTTGATCGCTAGAGATCCGGGGCGGGGTTCGGCGGCTGAGTAGCGCACCCGACACTCCGGGTTGAAGTGTGCAAGGACTCGGGGGGTCTCTCGGGGGGGTGGTGAAGGCATCCGCAAAGCTGGTCTCTAGAGATGGTCCAGCTTGAGACTGAGCTGAATTCGAAGTATTGCTATAAGTTATCGATCACAGGTTCATAAATGAGCTGTTTAGGCGCCTTTGGTCCAAGCAGAAAGGGCGCTGTTGCAATTGTCAATAACAGGGCAATCACGTGGTTATAACGAGCCGGTTGGCCATTGTGATGATACCCGTCTAGTTTTGGCACTATTGGCCAGGCTGAAGGCAGTCTTTGCACGTGTCAATCGCGCACGACCGCCCAGTGCTCCGCTTCGCTTGGAGAAGGCGATTGTCTCCCTACTTATACAGTATAGTAAGCCAAGACCTCAAAACCGCAGTCTGAATGCGAATCCGGATGTTACCCCGTAGCTGTGAGAGATGTCGTATGAGGGGCTCGCTCAGCTGGGACTGTAATTCGATGGTGGTCCCCTGCCGTCTACCGGGGCAAGACCAGGTTCCTCTAGCGTCGGATGAATCTCGCTTCGACCAGCTCTCCAGGAAGTGCCCGGTACGGAGTCGACAATCGAGTTAGAAGTAGCAGGCGTTGGGTGTATTCATGTCCGCACTCGCCTCCGTCAGATGGCTTTTTATTTGCCACGGGCCTGGCGTCGTGGATCCACCGTGCTGATTTCTGAGGCTGACGAACCATGTAGCCTGCCAATAGTGCTTTTGGCTATGGGGGCGGCCTTGAAGCCGTACTGTGAAGCTGCTGTATTAGCCTGCAGGCAGCCCAATCGAGCATGGTGTCCTTTCGTCACAGTGATGCCATGAGCAGTCGGTACAGCGGCCAGCCGTAATGTGATGGGGTGGTGATACGCCTATCGTCTGCGAGAGCTGTTGGCACATGGGAATCGGGACGCTGCAAGGCTCGGAGATCGGTATAAACCGAGTCCGGCGTGACGGGCCCGATTGAGTGAGCGACTCGAGTCAGGCTCGCGGTCCCGTCAAAGGCAGCGTGAGTGCGGCGTGGAGTGTGATTGCTGGGTTGACGTGATGTGGGCGGGAGGTGCAAGAAGGGCAGAATGGGCGCCACCCAATGGAAAAAGGCTTGGCATCCCGTGTGCCGCCCGGTAGCCTCCGCGCGGCTGCCGGTGCTGGTGTCGCCTTGCCGCCAGAGCCACAATGGCGTTACATGGGCAGCCTGCGCTATACCCACGATACGAAGCCAAACTCCAAGCTCCACCCACGATGCCAGTGCCAGTGCCAGTGCCAGAAGCTGGACGTCAAGCCTCAGCTCCAGCGGGGCCATCCATCCATCCATCCATCGACCCCGACATGCTCGCGATGCCCATGCCACCGCCTTGCTCCCCCAGGCCCGTCCAGGCCAACCCATCCCAGCCCCTTCTGCCAGCGACGGCAGCGGCCTCGCAATGCCAATGGAACTTCCAAAAACCGCCTGGCCGAGGGCGTGCCGATTACCTGCCGGTGCTTTGAACGGCACCGCTTCCGACAGACCAGACAACGGCCCGCTTGGCCAGCGCACGTGCTCGCGTGACGGGTCACAGGTACTGCAGCGGGCCAAACATAGAAACGAGCAATAAGCTGCGCATCAACCGGGCATGGCACGCCGTCTGGGGGGGGGTGCTTTATGGGGGTTATGGGGGAGGCCAGGCAGCGGCAGCAGATGGCATTGTGGCGGTGTCAGAAGCCCGTCGAGCACAGCAAACCAAGGCCTCGACATCAACGCCGTGCACACGCCACGTTTACTGACGCTCAACGCTGGCTTACCCGAACAGCCCTCGTCCACTTCCCCCCTCCCACTCTTGTCCGCACATGGATGGCCCACCTGGGGGCTAACTCACAGAGTCCTGACAGGCCACACCCTTCCAGAAAACCCGGCCTAGACCCGGCCTGGTTCTGTGTCTCCAGCGCGAAGGCCCCAAACGCCACCAACCTCGTCTTGTCCATGGCCGTTCACGACGACGCTCGCACTCGTCCGTCGTCGTCGCCCGAGTTGCCCTCGCCCGAGTTGCCCTCGCAACGTCATGTCCCCAGCCATGACGGCAGCCATGCCAGCAGCCGCGAGTGGGCCATGCAAATGCTATCAGGGAACGCCGACGGCAACGTGGTGTCGCTCTGTATCCAGAGCGACCTAGTCCCGGTTAAGCAGGGCAGCGGTGCCTTGCTATCACCCCACTTCACGAGAATCGCGCAATTCTTACTGATGGGTGGATACCCCCGGCCTAGGCATTGCGGATGCACGTCGTGTGGCTAGTCAACGGTCAAAGGGCCAGGACGCTCAGCGGCCGGGGTGTGCATCCTTCGAGGCTCCAGCCAGTCGCCAGCCGCGAAGCCGGGAAAAGCGCTCTGCTGCTGTTGGATCGTGAAGCTCAGATACCGTGTTCCTGTATTTCCAGGCATCCCCCATGCACGGTAAGGGCGCAGACCACCTGGACACTGTCAAATGTCAAGGTCAGGATGGTGATTCTGCCTCGCAGTAAATCTCCCATAAGGCTGCTGTAATCCCTTCCGACGACCTTGTATCCACGGAGCCCAAACGTACGTCTACCCCACTGACACCCTCTACACCAAATGTTGCCGTTCTGCCCTCGAACATGACCCAGCGGTCTCCCAACCCACATCAGCCCAAGACGACAACAATCTCACGAAGACTTAGGGACCGTGCCGACCAGAACTTGTCTGTTCAGCCACCAGAAATTCCACAAATAAGGGGGGCTCGCTCGTGCCGTGCCGCAAACTTGCAAACGCCCCGCCACAATCCCATTGATTATCAAACGCCCGGCTCGCACCCGCCTTCGCTAACTTGGAATACCTCACACCTTCTCGAAGACATTCCCAAGAGCCACCCTTCTCAACCAGCTCCTTCTGACCAGAGCCAATTCCAAGACACCGCCCTTGCGCAGACCATTGACTTCTTTCCTCTCGACTCTCGTCACGACTCACGCCTCGGACCCGTGTCGACTGCTGGCCATCCGACGCCGCGCACTAACCACATCCACCCGACGCAAAGCCTAGATCTCCTTCCGTCGCCATCTTTATCTACGTCCAGCAGGCATTCTTCCAAAGTCGAACCCTCAACAGACTTGGAACAGTCGCACGATCCGTTGCTCGAGCTACAAGACATGAGGTACGCGACCCCGCCAGTGGTTTTAGGCGAGCAGTTTCTCATATAGACAGCACCTTGGGCTTCATGATGCCTCCTTCGCAGTATGGTATGAACAATTACGGTTCCTCCCAAACATCCTACTCTTCTGGATATCCGTCTACTCAATCCTATGCGGAACCAAGATCTTCGGCACCAGGCCCATACGGCTCGACTTACTCTTCAAGTCCAGCCCCGAATGATCATCAACCAAGAAGAACCGACCAGCACACTGTTCTACCGCCGTATCCGCCTCAGCACCCGTCACTTCCGCGGACTACGTACCAGCAACCACCGCCATCAGATCCCATGCGAGCAAACGTAAATCCTATGGCTTCCGCTGCGCATTCGTACACTTACCAACCACCTCATAATCACGTCTCTAATCAGTCATTGGGAGGCAGCGCCTACCCGCCGTGAGTTCATCTCGAGCACCGCGTATGCCTTTCGCTAATAGAGGTAGACCGCAACTTTATCCACCAAGCTCCTACGCTGTGGGCGAATACCATCCATTACCTACCATGTATCCTCCAACAAACACTGCGCCTGCTACATACGCAACATATGAATCACCACCGAGCGCTCCGCCTTCTAACGCCTCGGTGCCTGCGCTTTCATCTTCGCCAAGCACCCAAGGGAACCCGGTAATGCCACGAGTCATCAACTCACGCCCAAAGCCTCAATGTTGGGATCACGGATGCAATGGAAGACAGTTTTCCACATTCAGCAACCTATTGCGGCACCAACGAGAAAAGTCAGGAAATGCCGCCAAGAGCAGTTGTCCCCGATGCGGAGCGGAGTTTACGCGCACGACTGCAAGAAACGGACACATGGCCCATGACAAGTGCAAGCCACGTAGAGCATCAGAAGCCGGCGGATAGGCAAAATCTGCATGCGGCTGTTCGATTGTTGTCATGATCAGATACCCGAAGAACTTTTCAGTAATACATCTCAGAAAGGATGTCGCAGTATATGCTCATCCAAGCAGGCTCTGGGCTCTCTCAAAGAAGCCAGTTGACAGAGCCAGAGGCACTCTAGAGGGTGGAAGCCACCCTAGATTCCGAGATTCCAGCTTCACATCTACCTACGCGTTTCGAATTTTGCGGCCTTCGGTTTTGGGAAGGATTTGTTGGTATAGCAACAGCATCACCAGGCGTTATGTCAAGCGTTTCAGCGGTCACCAATGCACATGATTATTTGATTGCAATCTGTTGTCTGTTATCACACCATTGCCGCGAGGATGTCGTATATGTAGAATTGCGAGCGCAATAGAAAGCCGGTGAGAGAGAGAGAGGAGGTATGCTGGGATCCAGAGCATCGGCATTCTTTCGCACCTTGCTGGCTCCATTCCTACACATACACAAAACATGTACATGCGAACATGCGAACATGCAAACACTCAGACGGGACGAACTGGTGGTATTGCCGGGCTTGAAAAAAAGGGCCGCCGGGGAAGAGTGCTGGCGGCATGCCTGTTGAGAGATCGCGGGAGGATTTTGCAGGAACCAGGAAAGCAGGAACACGGAACACCTGCTGCTTGGGGGATCCCCCTGTCCCCTGCGATGAACCCGACCATTTGGTTCGCACAAAAACCCATGAAGGTCATAATATATCCCAGGGTCCTCCTAGCAGCTTCCGCAAAGTCGGCACGGCAGAATTTCGGCCATGCCTAGAAGAAAAAGTCTTGGGGGAGACGGCATTGCAGTCGCTGTGCTATAGCAGGTCAAAGCGGAAAAATCTAGCGAGCATTGTCCACGCTTCAACGGGATTTGACTCGATACACACGACTGTCGAAACAAGCTTAAAAAGGCAATTCTCTGGGACGTAATTTCCACGCCACGCGGGCCAGCAATTACGGGCTGGCGCCCACATTGCCTTGGCCAAGAACATGCAGTAATACACACTGACATAGGCATAGGTATGGGTACGCAAGGCTACCACCCAAGCTTGCACGGCCCACGCCAGGTTCAGGTAACGATCAGACTAGCGGGCCGTTGTCGCCACGACGTGAGGCGGGAAAGGCCTTGCAAGAGAGCATCCGCCGCCCTGGACAATGACCAACTGCGAAAGCGACCATGCCGAGGGACCTTTGAGCGTCGTTCCCAGACACCAACAAGAGTCAGCAACCATGGTCTAGGCTACTGGGCGCATCGGGACATGAGCAGCTGGCTGTACACCTGGAATGCGACACTGGAGTCTGTTGGTCGTTTTTTCTCGCCAGTCTGCGCCCTGTTCGTCATCAGACAGCCGATTAGTAGACGTGCCTTGGACATGGTGCTTGTCTCGGATACTGTCAACCGCATGGCGATTACAACATGCAACCCATACACATACCGTACAGCAGCGGGCGTGCATGCATGCGTGGAGTGCCCCAGTGGCGTGGGATATGTCCGGCCTTAAGCACACCTTCAGCGGCTCCTTGGTCGTGGTTCAGCGCACTCGATGCGACTTGCGTCGAGACGGTGACTGAAGCTTCAGCGTGCATGCTGCCAAGACCATTACTGCAGCTGCAAAATGCGTCTCGCGGTCGTGACTCAAATAGGCATCTGCCAACGGATACCGTCCTGGTCACTCGGCTTATTGGTTGTCAGGCAAAACTGCGTGGTGGACCAGAGATGAAGGCCGCAGCTATCTGGGCTCGCAGCACGACTCCGGCCCACGGCCGTGCTGCCATTGACTTGCCATTCTCGGTGCAGCCACATTATTACAGTACCTATGTGCAAGCACGTTGCTGAATTAGGGCACCTTTGGAACCGCACGCCCGGAGCCGCCCCTTGGTCATACATGTGTATGTATGTACATGTACATACTACATGCAACATGTTCCGACTGCTAAAGACACGGCATCTCGGTCCACCAAGTTCGGGCTTGATATTGAGTAAACGTGCCGAGGCAGAGTCTTGGCAGCTGCAATCGGCTGCGCCCCAGCGCGACTTGCTGACCCGATACCTTTGCTGACGTGTGGATTAGGGCGTGAGGCCTGGCAAGGGTGATGCGGCGGGGCGCGGCTGCGCGGGAAGGATGACAGTCACTTGATCCCTCGATTTACGTTCACGCAGGGATGCAACATGGCGGCCAGAGACTGGGACTTGAGCCATCACGTGAATCAGCGTCCCTGGCCAGCCACTCCATCATGACATGCACCGTCGGTGGGTAAAGAAGCGCGGGAGAATAGCCAGTCATTTTTACCCGGTAGCCGGCACGACGTTACAGCATGTGACAGGCAGGTCTGAATTGAAGGGCTACGATATTGCGACTAAGCTCCACCCATTACGGAATCCGAGACTGCCGTAGTCGAGGTGTCGGACCGCCCACTTTTCTTTTTGCACACGCTCAGCGAATGGTGCAAAATAGTGCTCATGGGACATTGTCGTCGGATCTTTCACCCTGTCCGGCTATCAAGGCCGACGGCACAGCAACAGCCCCTGTCGCGTTGGCCCATCTCGAGTCGTATGTTTGTGGCCGCCTGAACAGTGCCCCACACCACAACAAGCTTGATTGTCGAGCTGAATCAAGAAGAAAAGGACATAGTGCATACGGCCAAGAGGTGATGGGCATGTCGCTGCGCCTGCAACTTGACCGAATCACAGCACATGCATTACGCTAGGTTCTTAGGGGAGCCGGGTTCCATGTGGGGGCCGGTCTCGTCTGCTCTTCAAGCGCTTCAGCAAGGTCGTCGAGACGCGCAGAGGCACCGGCAATCACTCCAGAACCGAACTGGATGCACATCACTGGAGCGGTGATGTACACTAGGGTAAATGTCCAGGACCTCGTCATACGGTAAGCGACCCGCGCCAGCACAGGCTGAACTCTGACAGCGTCGACCTTCAACGCCGCGTTTGCATGCTGCTCGCGTGGGAAAGCTGTGGGAGCAGGAATGGGAATGGCCCGGACATGGGACCATGTGGTAGCCTCGTGCGCAAGGCTGACATGCATGTCCCTAGGTGCAAAAGACCCCAGAACCATGGTTGAGCTGGAAGCGCTCGCCTGTCGCTGACGCCCCCGCCGTCCCTGTGGATGATGCCTGTAGTGCTACCTTCGAGAAAGCCGGTTAATATCTGCCGTCTGCTGAACGGTATGACGCTTGCCAGCAGGCGTCGTCGTCGTCACGTGGAAATAAACTGACCGCAAACGGCAGCAAGTAATCGAATGCAGCGACATGCCTTCACCGCTGCAGCTGGGGCTGGGGACCCATAATACAGACGTAATGTTGCACCAGACGACATGCCGTATTATGCTCTCATCCATGCGGTTGCATCTCAGCCGCAACTGCCGGCTGACTTTCTCGACCCTGTCCCTGCATCGGCATCGGCATTTTCGCTTTTTGTGCTGGAGTGGGCATATCTCAGCTACGAGGTGAGCAACCAAGAGGCATCTTTCAGCGCCCCCGCCAGAGCGTGTGGAGGGTATGAATAGGAAAATGCGCAGCGCGGCGGCTTTTCGCCTGTGCCACATTGCCTGCATCACCGACAAGAAAACGTCGCAGCCAGTCGTTCTCTAGCCACCCAGCCTGTTGGTCCCCGTTTAATATATGAATCCCGCGCGGGCCTAAGAATTAGGTTCTGACTGGCGTTTTTCGGCCCCGACATCGAATGCTGATGCGGATGCCTGAAACTGCGCTGAGGCCCAATTGCAGAGGCGAATGAAGTCATCGACTACCAGAACACTACGCCGTACTACTGCACAGCCTCTATGAAACAGACGACTGTCCTACGCTGGCTCCAAAACGTCCAGATGCCAGATGACTCGAGCTTGAGTGGATATGGCGACTGTTTCAAAAGATTCTTGCAGCACATGAAGGTACAAAAGGCATTTCAACCTGATTGTCATGGGTGATGTAGCTATGTTGGCCTTGCGAACATAATGACGATCAGAGTAGATTCTTCCAAGAAGCTCGTAGTGAGTCACTTCGACGTTTGTGCGAATTCAAGTCCTTGGATACGCGGCCAAAGGGCGAAAGAAGGGCGCTGCAGTCCGGACTATGATTCACAAGGCCCAGAACTCTCCGCAGCCCCGAGCTCGGACCAACGACTAACATCACGACAACTCGATACCTTTCCTGCTTTGTGCCACCAAGTCGTTTGCCATCATCTACTCATCACTGTACTAATCTCTGTCTACCAATGTCTACCCTCAGTCTGTGATCGCCTCATTGGCACCTTCACGCAGCTCGCCCACGAGTTGTCCCTAGCTGTCGCTTGACGAAGCCTCACCCCGTGTTTGCCCTTTCTCGCCCGTCAAGATGCTCCCTCTTTTATCGCAATTATTCCGGACGCATTTCTCACATACCAACTCGCGAATATTACCACGCTTATGCACCGTCTCTTTTAACACAACGCCCAAACACGCCATCTGAGATCTGAGGTGTTCGGAACCTCCCTAACCATCCCAACTAGTACGCGAGTACTCTACGTCTTTGCTTGAACTTGGACATATTTTGCAACATAATGGCCTCCATCTTCACCTTCGATCCTGACCCGCCCCGCGTTTCGTCGCCGTGGGCAACGACTTCTGTCGGCGACTCGACGGAACCGCCACACCCCAACCAAAAGACCAAGTCCCCTCTTTCAAGACTTGGCACCGACAGCGAACGGCGAAGGCCATACAACAAGCCTCTGGCAGATACGGTGGATTATACAAATATAATAAGATTGGAGGCAGAGCCTCAGGATGGGCCCACAGAATACAAACTGCATCTGCTTTTGCGGAGGCGGCGATCGTTCACTCGAGCCACTACTGGCCGGTATATATCGGGGTCTATGCGTCGGAGTGACATTCCCATACCAGTTCCTGCGGGTCGTAGCGTATCGGAGTCTGGCCTTTCCAACACTCCTCCGCCACTGGCGTCAACGCAGTCAAAGCAGCATCGCCTTGAGCAGTTGACTACGCAGTTGCTATGGCGCTTGCAGCAATCATGCCCTTATCACATATCTTCTTCGACAGCCCCGGTAATTCCCCATCTTCCCGAGGATGCGCGTCTCTCAACCGCAGAGATGCCCCAGCGACTTCTCCCTGGCCTGGAGGAGAGCAAGGGTGCACTCTATGAAATTGGTGTGGCTGATGATGGAACCATTGTTGGCTTAGCAGAAGATGAAATGGAAGAGAGTCTCAACAACTTGCGCGCCATGGCTGCGAGCTTGGGCTGCGGAGTTGAAGTCTTGCGCCGAGTTCCAGTAGGTGAATGTGAGTGGGTTGAAGATGCAGGCACTGTCCATCAGCGGATACAAAAATCGCAATTGCTGGTCGCCGAAGCCCTAGTGCGCCCGGAGCAATATCTGGTAGACTACACGAAACAGGGCCAGAAAGAAAACGGCAAGAATGGGTTAGATTCCACAGACGGCGGCGCAGCACTAGCTAGAGAGTCGCGGGCGACGAGTGAGCAGATGCGAGTGTCAGTCACTGGCGCTACAATGTCTGGAAAATCGACTCTACTTGGAACACTTTCTACCGCCACTTTGGACAATGGCCGCGGGAAGAGTCGTCTGAGTTTGCTGAAACACAGGCATGAGATTGCATCGGGCATGACTAGTTCTGTTACGCAAGAACTGATTGGATATTGCGATGTGGATAACCATACCCAAGTGATTAGTTATGGGTCGGGCGATATCTCATCGTGGATCGACATTCACGCAGCAGTCGAGTCTGTGAATAGTGGCAGGCTTGTGTTCCTTTCGGATTCTGCAGGCCATCCACGGTTCAGGCGCACCACTGTTCGTGGTATTGTTGGTTGGTGAGTGCCCTTGTTTTTTCTGGACTCGAACATCGCTGATATAGTACCAGGCAACCACACTGGACGATTCTATGCGTCCCAGCAGACAACACGGAAGATTCTTCGGGTAAGCTCGGAGCATCACCTACCTCTGAAGAATTGCTTGGGCCTGCAGCAGCAGACCTCGACCTTTCGCACGCGCATTTGGAGCTTTGTCTTGCTTTGGAGCTCCCGCTTGTCATTGTCATTACCAAGTACGATCTTGCTACCAAGAATGGCCTGAAAAGTACCCTGGTAAAACTCTTCGCAGCTCTGAGAGAGCACGGCAGGAAGCCTTGTCTCATCACGGATGCTTCAACATCTGTGCTGGAAGCCGATTTGCATACAGTGGAGGCAGCTGATCTTGAGGAAACTGAAAAGACCATTTGCCTGTTGAGAGACTCGCCGCTTGCAGCTGTACCTGTAGTACTCACCAGTGCGGTCAAAGGAACAGGCATTCAGAAACTTCATGCGTTCCTGCGAAGACTCCCTATGCCACAGCAGCCCGAGCTACCACCACCCGAGTCACCATCGCCGCTCTTCTACATTGAAGATGTCTACAGCGTCAGCATGAGCAACTCGGACGAGCAATCCGCAATCATCGGCGGCTATATTCGCTACGGCTCCCTGTCCATTGGAGACGAGCTCTTGCTGGGCCCATATCCCGCCGATGTGAGTTCCGACGACAGTGACAGCGGCAGCGCTCGATCCAGCCGGAAAGCCGCGATACCGCAATCACGCTCGTTCCCGGGCGCGCTCAATCCCAAATCCAAGAATGCCGTGCTGCGCGAGAGCCACAGCGAGTGGCGCAGAGTCCGCATCACCTCGCTCCGCAATCTGCGCCTGCCGGTGCACGCGCTGCTAGCTGGCCAGGTGGGCACCATGAGCATCGTGCCCGTGCATTCGTCCATGGCTGCCGCATCCATCAATCGCATCAGGAAGGGCATGGTACTCGCAGCTCGGGAGCCAAAGGCCCACAAAGTCATCACGGTGCGGTTTGAAGACAAACAAGCCCACTGCGCCAAGGACCTGGGTGTCGGCAGCGCAGTCGTCGTGTACATAGCCAGCGTTAGGGCGTCTGCAAAAGTCGTTTCTGTGGCTGCGGTTCGTTCCAACAGCTCGGCTTCCCCGCCAGACCAAGCAAAGCACAGCGGTGACGACGAAGACGATGGCTTTGGATTCGGCTTCGACACCGAGCCAGATGACCACTCGTTGCAAGATACCCTGGAAACGGGGCCTCCTTCTGTCATGGTCACCTTCCAGTTCATCGCTGCACGCGAGTTTGTCGAGGTCGGGGCGAAAGTCCTCGTTATGCCTGGCGGCGGGCCGGGCCTGCTAGGTGGCAATGAGAGGGGCGCAAAGGGTATGGCTGGGCTAGAGGGCTTTGTTGGGCGTGTTGTGGAAGATTCGTAGCAGCGTTCTTTTTTTTTCTGTCTGGAATACGCGATGTGTTATTGTTTTCGTTCTAGTTTGATAGTATAGGGTACTTGTTATTTATCTTAGTCTACGAGTTGATTGTGTTTTTCTTTTCATCTTCTCGTGTACCTACGGATCGAACTTGTAATTTGCATTGAATAGAATTTCTGGCTTGCAATAAAGTACCTTTTTACCATCGTCTGCTTTGTAATTGAACACACCAACCACATGCTGCAAAGTGAGAGAGAGTACTTATCTTGAACGCACGCAAAAAAAAAAAAAAAATTCCAATTCCATTCTTGCACCTCAAATCACATCACACATCAAGCAAAAAACAAAGGAACAGAAAAAAATGTAGCACTTGATTTATGCCCTCTCCTCCCTCCCCTTCCCCCCAACCATATCCCGCATTCCTTTTCCCAAACGCAGCACAGAGACCGAAAAAAAAAGCGAGACAAAGAGAAGGAAGTAAGAAAACTCCCGCTCTCTCTCCATCTCCTCTGCACGCACGTTCCTCATCCACCAGCGTCCGTGTACCGTCCTCACCCGACATCGTGCGTTGATCTCCTTTCGAAGACGGTGCGCAACGACCGGCTAGAGTACTAGAAAGCGGATGGCTTCGAGTCGAGAAGAAAGGAAAGAAAAGGATGGTTGAAATGGGGGAAAGGATGGTGGGAATGGTCAAGTGCAGGCCTACTCATAGACAGAACAGCAATCCAGACGATAACACGGTTTTTTTTTCCTTTCAAAACTCCCGCGCTCTGACGAGGCCAGGTTGCGGGGATAAGGAAAGAGGGAAAAAAAAGAGGTTGAGTCGTCGGCGACTGTTTTGTAGAAGAGGCTTTTTGTTGATCTCTCGCAAGGGCTATACTGAGCAGCAGGAATGGGTCTGGTCGCTGAGCTCCACCTTAGGCCGCGAGGTTTGTTTGTTTTTGAGGGGTTGGGGAGGGGGAGCAGAAGAGTGGGGGGACTATGCAAAGGGAGACAAGGGAAGGTAAGAGGGAGATGGGGCTTTGGACGTTGGAAAAATAGGCGAGAGAGAGAGAGAGAAATGGAGGATACAAGGCGTACCAAGGTTGTCGGTACTGGTGGCCGCTAGTGGTCAGATGTAAATAATGATTTTGGGGATATCACAGGTGTAAACTTTAGTCATCCAAAGGCTTACAAAACGCAAGCTTCAAGTCGCTTGCTGTACTGGGTTCCATATGTGCTGTTGATAAGGTGAATGCGGTTAAGCTGCAGACGAGGCAAAAAGAACCTTTCGAGGTCCGCCCATGGTTAGGCTCTTGGAGATAGCACCATTGGTTGCGCTGCTTTCCATGCTGTCAAGCATTCTGTCCATGCCGCCGAGGTCAAGCTCACCATGAGAAAGTAATGCTTGATCTGTCCTGGTGGTCGTCTCTTCTTCGAGTTGTTCGCGTGCAAACATTGCGTTCATATCTCGTCCAAGGGGCTGGTTCGTGGTGGCTGTAATGACTAGGCGATGTTCCAAGGAGACCAGAGTGTCTCTTGCTACAGCCATGCGTGATGCCTGTGTTGTAGTGTCAAACTGGGAGATGGAGCTGATGGCCTCTCCGCATAGTGCCACATCTTGGACTTGGAGGCCAGGACCTGGCAATGAGCTACCATTGGCGGCAGAGGCGGTGCGAGTCCAGAACTTGGCCAGGTCTGCTATCCTATAGATTTCCGAGCCGTACCAGATGAGGACCGAATCTTCAGAAGCAGCATTGGCCGATGCCAAGCTAGCGACTGAGATGCCACCACGCGTTACAACCGCAGTGCTGGTCGAGGTTCCTTGGAAAAGCGCTTCTTCCTTCCTGCGACGTGTGTTGGGTGTCATGGGAGCTAGCGAGTTACGACCGCCGCGCTTCGGGCTGGTAGCGGCGCTGCTACTTCCATCCTTTTCTGATGTTCCCACATAGCCTCGCAGAGAAAAGGTCGAGGGGTCTGCTGGTGGGTTCGGGCCAGAGCGATCAACATCCCAGACTCCCCACTCACCATCTGCTAGTAGAGCAATGATGTGACGGCCATCCGAGGCCCAGGCTGCATCAATGATAGCTTTTCGTGACGCAAGAGCCGGAGGCGTGAGCGTGACACTCTTGACAGCCTCGAACGGTGCTCTGAATGTAGCCACAAAGGCACCTGGCTCAGTGGAAGCGCCGCTCAAACGTCGCTTGCGGCTGGGTGCAGCGAATGGGTCATAGATCCGTGCAATGCCCATAGAGTCTGTTATGAGTAGTTGAGAATGTCGACGCTTGGGATACTGGGCAGTGTTGAACACAATACGCGAGGCAGGTTTCCGCAGCGTGATCGTCTTGTAAGGTACAAGCGGGTGCGAGACTTTGAGTGCTGTCTCGGAGAGTTCAAAGCGGAAGATTCTCAGCAAGCCACCCAGCTCGGCGGAATGCGAGGCCACGAGTAAGTCGAAGCCTTCATCAACATGCGGCTGAGACTGCGAACGTGACTGTTGCCTGCGATGTCTGCGCATCGGTGTCGGGGCAGCCTCTCCTTCGCCGTCCACGTCCATGTCATCTGCTGCATCCTCTACCGCTCCTGGCTCGCCCTTGGCAGTCCAGGTCATGGTAACGCCCCTGGGGATGCTCTGGTGGCCTTGGATCTTGACGATTTCCTCGCCAAACTGCGATGTTGAAGCGAGCGCCTTGTCCTTGGCAGCATGTGGAGGAGGGTTCAGCGGCAGCGTGATGATGCGTACAGTCAAGTCTGCGCATGTGACGGTGAAGACCATGTTCTTGCTGAATATCGGGGGTATGGTGTCTCCAGGGCGCAGAGCGGAAGCGTGGGGTATTTGAGGCACGGCGATATGGCGAACTTGAGTGCTGAGCGGCAGGGACACGTGCTGGACGATGGACGGGTAGGGCTGGTCTGGGTCGAGCTCTTCTTCCTCAGCCTCGAACTCAGCCGTGGGCGGGGGCTGCACGGCGGCGGCTGCTTTTGCAGGCTCGTCGTCGTCCGAGTCGATGATCATGATGGCATCGCTGGTGGTCCCGTTGACCTTGGGCGGCTTGGCTGGCTGCGGGGGCTGGGGCGCCGGGGTTTTGACGTGTCTGCCGCCCCTCCAGAGAATGCCGACGCCGGTCTCGTGGCCATAGAGGACAATGGTAGAGCCATTGGGAGCTTTGACGGGGTAGACGGCCGAGGCGAGGACGCGATGCTGCAGCTCGTACCTGCGTAGCGGCAGTCTGTCAGTGGGAGCGGAGAGAAGGGCCGGGCAGAGGCAAACCTTAGCTGGGTCAGCTTGCCCTTTGTTGTGACGAGGGGTTCCATGGCAACAGCTTGAGCAGAGGGGAGCTAGGGCGGCGTGGGAGCGCGCAGGAGAGATGGACGAGCAGAGCGGCGCCCGCTGCTGCGTTTATGCGGGTCGCGTGGGCGTGACTAAGCGATGAGAAGGACAAAGACGGCGCTGGTGGGCGCGGGCGAGGCTGCGCGTGGGATGCGCGAGGGCGAAGGCAAAGGGCGAGGGTGAAGGAAGCTCGGAGGTGATGCGGAGTTTGAACATTTCTGGGGAAGGCGCGCTCGACCCCAGTAGCGCGTCACCACCAAGACAGTTTCGCGCGTCACCACCTGCCAGGCCCAGGACGCTCTCGCACCCCCGCAGCACCAGACGCCGGCTCCCCCCATGTGGCAAGACGAGCCTCCGAATGGCCTCCCTTCGCTCCATCGGGATCCACAAGCCCGCCGCCTGGCAGTATCTGGTGCAAGAGTCGATACTGACCGACGATAGCAGTCCCCGCGAGTATTGCTGGCAAACATACGCCGACGACGACGGCCCGCCCGACGAGCTCGTCACCACCAAGCACCATGTCGTCTGGGCCCGCGGCGGCGTGGTGCGCAAGGCATTCAGCTTCGAGGTGGAGAAAGAGCAGGTCAAGCACGCCCTGTTGACGTGGTTCGTGGTCGACGAGCCCTCGCATGGCCCCTCACATAGTTCCAAGAGCACGACAGCACCCAATGCCGCGCCCCTCTCGCAGAGCTTCCTCACCCAGGGCACCCAGCCGGCCACGGATCCCACCGCGCCCGTCAATCCTGCGCCCGCGACAGTAGAGGTCCGGTCGCGCGCCCTCGTCGTCTTCCTCAAGTCGCAGGCCCACGTCTTCTTCCTCTCCGGCACAACCCACGTCGTCAACCTCCCGTTCGAGGTGGAAAAGGCGTTTCCCGCCGCACGAGGCGTCCTGGTACAGAGGAGGCTTGCGCCTCTGCCTCCTGCGCCGCCCACGCCGCCGCTGCCTTCAGCCCCGCCATCCTCGTTCCTCACAGCCAACCAGTCGTTCCTCTCGCAGCACCTCTCCTTCTCCCAGAACCCGTCTCAGCCACATCGCCGCAATGTCTCGTCCATTGGCACCTCACGCCATGGCACCTCGCGCTTGTCGACTGCCACCATGTTTCTCGACGACATGATAAACCCCTCTGTGCCTGTGAACCCAGAGGCGATACCTAGATTGTATTCCTTCACAGATCCGCTGTCAGAGCTTGGACTGGTGGTCACGGTGGTCTCGGGCGGGCATCGTAATAGCCTGTTGATGACCAACGGCTCTGTTCATCGGAGACTCGAGGCCATTGATAACGCCGAGGACATCATATACGTATCTCCGCAGAATGAGCTTCTCTTTGATCGCACGGGCAATGATAAGCCCCTTCTCCTAGTAGTCACTGCGAACCACGAGACGAATGTATTTACCATCTGGTCTGCGGCCTACCTTGAGCCAAAATCTATATCCACTTCTCGCAAACAACACGTTCCCCTGCCCATAAGCAAGTCGCGAAGGCGTAGCTCCCAAGGTGCCACGGCGCCGGGCACGGGGGCAACGACACCTGCACTTCGTAGCGCTGACAGACTGAGAGAGAGCTTTGGTACAGCACCGCGGAGCAAGACTCAGCCGCCGTCGTTCAAGATCACGGCCAAAGAGCGTCTATCTGACCAGGCAGTAGACGACGCGCTTGCCTCGCAGCTTAACCCCGACTCTGATATTGCGCGCCAGCCAAAGGAGTCGAGACGTGTGAGCTCACTGCTCTCGCGGGCTGAGCTTTCCACCAGCTTCGACAGAAGTGCCTTTCAGGACAAGGCAACATCTCGCAACAGTCTGGGCGGCAGCTTCTCCACCAGCTTCAACGCAAGCCAGCGAAGTCGGCATTCGCTGGGTCGCGATCGGACAAGCTTTGGCGGCCTTTCGCAGTCACATAATCGAGCGTCTACTCCTGGAAGCGTCACATCGCGAATGAGTCTGGGTGCTGTGTCAATTGACGATACTTTGGACGATGTCATGGACGAGGATACTTTTGATACTATCGAAGACTACGACGAGCTTGATGATCTATTTGCGCCCCCTGATACCAAAGGTGGACCTCGGCCGGGCGATGGACTTCACAAAGAATTAATTGTTAGTGCAATCGCCGAAATCCCGGTTACGCAAAATCTGAAGAGTGGGCTGTTTGCCCTAGGGAATCCTTCAGAGCCGCCGGTAAGCCATTAAAAGTTGGCTCTAAAAGTGCACTGCTAACGCATACAAAGGGGCAAATCCAACCCGAGGTGCTTACACTCAACGCGCCCTTCAACTCAGCGACGCTTCACGAGCGAAAACTGTACATGTATATATCACACCCATCATTACAGCATCCTCTCGAGTGTGAGCTGGCAGTGACACGGAAACGACTATCCCCTTCAGCATCAGCAACGCAATCAGGATCCAACAGCGCTGCTCCTAGGTACGCATGCGTTCCTAGATTTGTCAGCAGCCGGGAGCTTGAGGGCACATTGGACCTAGCAAAGCTTCGTGACGGCCACGTTGAACGCGTTGTCCATCTCATCTCAACTAATCCCCAGGAAAATTGCTTGTCATTGAATGCGGGATGGGGTACGCATCTACCAATGAAATACAGCCTGGGTCCATTGAAGTTGCACAACCCGTATGCAATACTGCATTACCAGCAGAACAGATCGACTGCAGGATCAAAACGTACCATCAAGGCTAATCGACCTCTGCAGCAGCTATTGTCTGTTGGAGAAGGTGGAAGGCTCGATGTCATGGACGGCGAACACTGCAGACACCGCGTGGTCCTGCGTCTGTCCCCCTCCGACCACTATGTGGCAGAGCTCTTCCGGGTGTTATTGACAGTCCTGCCCAATTATATTGGAGATTTCCTTTTAGAGATATGGTGGCACATTCGCAAGTCCTTGTCCGAGGAGGGATCTGAAAATATCACGGCAGACTGGACGGCTTTCGTTGCGGCTCTGTTCACTCTTGCTGTCCCTTTTATTGACGAGAAGAAGACTAAAGTCAAAACACGTGCAAAGAGTGCTCAACGAACGAGTTCAGGCCGCCCATCCAGCCGGGCCAAGCCAGATGAAATGTCACATGATGCAGACTCGGCATGGCGCCTCATGTGCAATCGTCAGTCTTCAAGAACTCATGCGAGGAGTTGGGAATCGTCAGCCTGGGGTTGGGCGCTGCGTTCGAGCTCCATGTCAACGACAATGAGCACACCAGGAAAAGCTTCATCTACGCAAGAGCAGCTGCCATCAATCGCCGAACAGATCAAAGTCAAGGATGACACAATTCCCACCTGTCTTGAGATTGCACGCCGTTATATTCAGTTACCGATTGGCAAAGCGACCAGCGATCACTGGAGGCGGCTGTCCCCTTCAGAAAAGCAAGATCTCCGCATCTCATCTCTCTCCGAGATTGTTGTTTCGCTGCATCTCTTCCGCGAAGAACGCAAGCTGAACACGCTGTGCCATGACTTTTCTGGGATCCAACCTGGCAATCTTGCACCCGTTCTGGCACAAATCAGTCATTGGTTGCGCTGGGATGCCTGGGACTGGAAACAAGGAGGCTTCTTCGACTTTGACGGCGGCTCAAGCCACGATTGGGCCTATGAAGAGTCCATGCTGACGAGTAAAGTTCGCCTACATGGTCAGCCATGGGATGCACCTCCTTCAATCCTGGGTTGGCTCACCACTGTCACGGGATCCCAGCACTACGCTCCATTTCCCACTCTGGCGACGCTCATACGCAAGTCTAAAGCGTCTCCACACTCATCCATCAATATTGATGAGATCATAGCAGATGTTACGCCACGGACGGTGGCACTACATAGGTTCTTTCGCGACATAGAACCTGCTTCTAGTCCCAGGCGTGTAGTTGAGCTGATCCAGAGGTGTGACATCAAATCTGACATGCTGGCCACATTACCGGAAGCTGCCAAAGCACCGCTAATGGAAGCAATTACAAGATGCCAGGCGAACCCGCCAACAACATGGTCAAGTTCATTGCTCAAGCTTGTGCAACGCGAAGATCTCGATCTCAGCCATACCCCAACTGGTGATGCTATGCATGACAGCCATCTTCATTCGTCCGGTGGCTCCCTGCATGCGCCTGGTACTACGCGCGATGTACACACTATATGCCAGGGCGCTGATCGCATGGAACCCATTCAGTCGACATCTGAAGTTGATCGTCACTACATTACGCGTCTAATTTTCCGCGAGGACAGACGCTTCATGGAGGCTTACACACTTCTTGAGCCTTTACGGCAGACTGTTGCAGAATACAAGGCCGATAACAGGCAAGACGACGCAGCAATGCTCGAGGGTCAGAAAGCCCTCATGCAATGGGTGATGGTCCGCACCTTTTCCCTACCAGTGGGCAGCTCCATGATCAAATTTAGCAGCAAGAAGCCTCTGCTGACAGAGAAATATCCTCTGTATGGCTTCTCGACATCCTGTCTCATGAAGCCAATGGGTAACGTCATCACAGCCGAACGGCAAAACTACTCGGAGGAAAAGTACTTTTGGGCATTCTTCAACGCAGGCGCTGCAGCTGGACTTGGCATCTCGCGAGATGCCCAGGGCATCGACACTTCTTGGATCATGTATAACAAGCCCGCCGAGCTAACGAACAAACATGCTGGCCTTTTGCTTGGACTAGGCTTGAACGGACATCTGAGAACGATTGCCAAATGGCTGTCGTTCAAGTACCTTACACCAAAACACACCATGACCTCAGTAGGCCTACTGCTAGGCCTGGCTGCTTCGTTTATGGGCACAATGGATACACTCGTCACACGACTACTTTCGGTCCACGTTACGAGAATGCTGCCAGCAGGGGCTGCTGAGCTGAACCTATCTCCGTACACACAGACTACTGGCTTGATGGGTATCGGCTTGCTTTATTACAATACCCAACACCGTCGCATGAGCGAGGTTATGCTTTCGGAAATTGAGCACGTAGAGGTGCCAGACCCCTCTGAACCGCCGGATACTCTGCGAGATGAAGCATATAGATTGTCTGCCGGTTTTGCGCTAGGCTTCATCAACCTGGGCAAGGGCAAAGATCTCCGAGGTCTGCACGACATGCGCATCGTTGAGCGCCTCATGACAGTCGCCGTCGCACCCAAGCCAGTCAATGTCGTCTATATTCTCGACCAGGCCACCGCTGGAGCGGTCATCGCCGTCACTCTAATCTTCATGAAAACCCACGACCAAAGCGTAGCTCGCAAGATCGACATTCCAGACACACTGCCGCAGTTCGATTATGTCCGTCCCGATATTTTCCTACTTCGCACTCTTGCCAAGCATCTTATCATGTGGGATAACATTGAAGCGTCGGATTCCTGGATCATCAGGAACTTGCCCGTTGAGTACCGTGAGGCCTACGATCTTAAAGGCATTACGCGACTACGGAGCGAACAGATGCCTTTCTACAACATCCTCGCAGGCCTGCTGTGGAGCGTGAGCCTCAAGCATGCTGGTACCGGGGATACACATGTACGAGACTTCTTGGTCAAGTATCTGGACCAGTTCGTTCGAATCAACAAGCTTCCAGCCGTGCGATACGATGCCAAACTGTCCAAGAATACGGTGCGGAATTGCCAGGATCTCATTGCATTGGCCGCTGCGACTGTCATGGCTGGTACGGGCGACCTTGATGTCTTCCGTCGTCTTCGCGGTTTGCATGGACGGATTGGTCCGGACATACCATATGGATCTCACCTCGCAGCGCACATGGCTTTTGGGGCTTTATTCATCGCAGGCGGCACGCAAACATTCAGTCGCAGCAACAAAGCCATAGCGAGTCTGATATGCGCCTTCTACCCACTATTCCCATCTGATGTCCAAGACTCAAAAGCACATCTACAAGCCTTCCGCCACTTCTGGGTCCTGGCCGCTGAATCGCGATGCCTCGTAGTGCGCGACGTAGACACTGGGCGTGCGATTTCCATGCCCATAACCGTGCATCTAAAGTCACCTCTTGCAGACGGCAGCACGACAAAATCACTCACGGCACCCTGCCTCCTCCCCGAACTCGGCTTGATCAGCAAACTAGAAACCGCCGACCAAACCTACTGGCCCACAACCCTCGACTTCCTTAACAACACACTGCACCTCAAGAGCTTCGAAAGAAACCAAACGCTCCATGTACGCCGCCGCTCCGCACACGACACATACTTGACAGCCTTCAGCTCCACGCTCGTGGCCCTCAACGACGCCCAGTCGTCGCGCACATCGCAGCTCGTCTTCCACTGGCTCTTCACGCTGCCCGCGCTTTCAAACTACGTCAGCGCCTCCGACGCAGGCCTCATCCTGCCCCTCGACCAGCACTCCAAGTCATGGCTCGACCCCGGTGCCACGGTCGTCGAGTCCCGCCTCGTGCTCGCGCGCCTGGCGCAAAGCTGCAAGGTCGAGGACCTCAGGGATCTCAAGGGCGTATTTGAATGGGCCCTCGTCGCGTGTAGGCGCGACGGCAAGTTGAGGTGGCTGGGGCGCGAGGTCGTTGAGAGAATCAAGGCTGCGGTCATGGAGAGGGGGAGACGTATGGGTGCTGCTACTACTCCTGCTGCATAGATACAAGCTGTCTTTTTTTTGGTAGAGAGTTATGTGTATCGGATTAACGTATGAGGGAGAAAGTAAGGGGCTGTTTTCTTTTTTCCTCCGCATTTAGAGAGTTGAACGAGATAATGTGAATTCCAAAAAAGAAGAAGAAGAGAAGCAAAAAAATGAGTATGCATCTACCTTGTAGTTGACGTTTCTGATCTCCCAGATACAATGACGTGATTCAACGGTGATATCTGCAGACAATCCATATTTTCTTCGCATCTTACATAGCATATTATTGTTCATTTGTTGATTGATTCTATAACTGGTTTTTGACGTGCCCAACGTAGCGTGTCTATCACAAACATATTATTAGAGTACCACGATACAAGTACAGCAGTATATGTATGTAGGTATGTATGTATTTTTATTTTCTCTTTGTGAAATCAACAAAACAAACGTGTCATGCATATATATTTTGATGGACATAAGGAACAGTGACTAACCAGGAAACCCTTTCTTCAACAGCGCAATCAAGGAAAAACAAGGGAGAAGACAAAACACAGCGGTAGTTTCTATATTCTGACTGTAAAGAGAGAGAGAGAGAGAGAGAGAGTGTGTGTGTGTGTGTGTGTGAGAGAGGGAACTGATTCATGTGCCCCTTTTCTCCATGCACAAATGCACACTTACAGCGTCAAGGGGGCAATCCATTCACACTTGGGTGGGGTTATGGGGATATCCTCGTCATCATTGAAGCGACCCAATTGCGCCACGCGCCTGTAGATTTCCTCGAGAATCTTGCCTTGCTCGCCCTCGTACTCTTCGGGCTTGCCTTCCTTGTAGCGGTCCTTTGCATCGATGGGTTTGCCGTCGGGAGTGACGCCTGCTACGTGTGGACGCGCTGCTGGGGCGGACTGTGCAGCGGGGGCTTGCTGTGATGTTGGCTGCGTGGGTGCGGTCGTATTGGTGGCTTGGGTGGCAAAGGGCGAGGGAGTGCTTGCTGGAGCAGCAGATGTCTGTGGCTTGGAGAAAGGGTTAGCGGCTTGCGATTGTGCTGCGGCAGGTTGCGTGGGCTGAGTGCCAAAAGGCGATGGTTTACTTGGTTGCCCAAAAGCTGGTGTCTGGGATGCTGCAGCATTGGCAAAAGGACTGGCCTGGGCAGGTGTTTGCTGGGTTTGTCCAAAAGGACTTTGGCTTTGTGATTGTTGGGCTTGTTGACCGAACGGCGAGGCCTGAGACGGTTGCTGAGCCTGTTGGCCGAATGGCGACGGCTGACTTGCTTGCTGTCCGAAAGGCGACTGACCCGACTGTGCTGCCTGCCCGAAAGGTGACGGACCTGATTGTGCTGCTTGTCCAAAGGGAGACGCTCCAGACTTTGCTGCCTGAGTAAACGGGGATGCACCAGATTGCGCTGCTTGGCCAAATGGAGACGCGTTGCCGCCTGGCTGTGCAGCCTGGCCAAAACCACTCTGCCCAAATCCAGGCTTACTAAAGGGATTTGGCTTCTGTCCCAAGGCATTCGTCTGTCCAAATCCGGATGCTGCGCCTGGTGCTGATGGCTTCCCGAAAGCCGAGCCTGTGCCCATGGTACTAGTCTGTCCGAATGCACTCCCCGCACCAGGCATAGATGGTTGGCTGAATCCGGAGGTGCCAAAGGCAGGTTTTCCAAAGGCGCTACCACTGCTCCCCAACGCGGAGGGCTGACCGAAGGGTGATGGCTTTTGTCCGAGTGCGGAGGCTGCGCCAAATGCGGAGCCGGCTTGGCCTGCAGTCGCTGCTTGAGCAAAGGGCGAGGCGGTTTGGCCTGGAGTCGATGCCCATCTGCTTCCTAGACTCTACTGATTCCCACAGCTCATTTGGAGCCGTACCCGTCCATCTCGCAAGCCCACGTTGATTGTTGCGTCAACATGGGTGTCTGCAGCTACTATCAGCGAGGCGCATGCAAGTTTGGAGGTAAGCGACCAGCCATCACCATGATGCGCCAGACTCACATGAACCAGATTCCTGCAAAAATGAACACCCTGGAAGTTCGCGAGATGCAAACCGTGGAGGCGGCTTTGGCGGTTCTAACAACAACCGCTTTGGCGCCTTCAATGGCGATCGCTATCGTCCTGGGCAGAACAGCGGATCCAACGCGTTCGGAGGTATGCCAAGTCCCATCATCGCCTGGGCCAGCCCAACATATGGCCCTCAGTGAGACCAAGTCTTTCTCGAACCACCACTCACCTAGTACAGGCAGCCGTGACTCCAAACCACCAAGCTTTCATTTGGACAGGGATGACATGAAAAATGATCTTACCACGCAACGTCCAATCTATCCGCTGTCGTGCTATGGACCGGGGCGAGAAGCTCCTCGCCAACTCATCGAGGGCCCAGTTGAGATCAGTCCCGACGAGCTCCGCCTGCGGTACTATACTTTGCGAGCGGCGGGTAATGAGCCCCAAGCGGTGAGTCTAGCCCCTCAAGATTGTCTGCGTTAGACTAACGCATCCTAGCAACAAGAGGAAGCTGCGCTCAACGAGAAAATGCAGCAGCAGGTGAAGGCAATTCTTGATGACGTTGCTGGCGCCATCCGTTATGTAGAAGAAGGTGCCAACATCCACCCTAATCGGATTGATATTGCCAAAGGCAACGTAAATGCAAGCGAATCAACCAACACTACAACTGCATCCTCAGTCTCAGCCTCTGCTTCCACCGCAAACCCCTTTATGAAAGCCGCGTCAGCAAATCCATTTCAAGCGGCGTCTGCCCAAACATCGGCGTTTGGGCAGACGTCGACTCCGGGTTTTGGAAAGCCAGCATTTGGCCAGCCATCGAACCCAGCGCAAACTACCTCCGCGTTTGGTCAACGTTGGAGGATATGGACGAAAGAAGAAAGCGGTGTCTTCGCGGCTGGGGTCAAGGCTTCGAGTGAACGGAAACTTCAGGCGAACGGACGCGACGCGCTGGCCAATCAACGCGAACAAAGCGTCTTCCCCCCCAGCAGCGCTATGGACTGGGCGGCAGTCAAGAGTGAGAGCCTCGCGCGCACGGCATCATCTGTATCGCCATCTCTGCCGGTTGGAGCGGATGTTTGGTTGCTGTCTCGGCCTGGCTGGATCGAGGCATCTTGCATGCCAGTGGGCAACCCGCGCGAGGCGGCCATGATGGGCAGTACGGAAGCATGTTTTGCGAGACTTGATGGCAGGGGGCGGTGCCTACCGTGATTCAGAGCCAGCAGTACCAATTACCGTGGATATGGATGAGCGATTCAAGCGTGCTGGTGCTTGTGGCAGCGTCTGGCGTCGATGGTTGGAAGGCGAAGGCGAAGGCGAAGGCAGAGAGCAGGGCGCTAGTCCGCTTTGGGCACGAGAGCAGGGCGCCGCAGCCTCGGGCCTTCCACGTCCGCCATGGTCGGAGGGAGCGATGCATTTGCGCCAGAATGCATTTTGCCCAAATGTCCCTGCAACCGCGCCACCCCGTCCTGCTGTCAAGTCACCCAGTACAAGACGACAATCGCTCGCCGTGCAATTGCTAGCCCAGCACGCCCAGCGCCCGCCCAGCTCGTGCCCCAGCATCGCGTGGCATGACGGGGTAAATGCACGCCTTCTCTATTCTTACCATTGGCATCTTCGTCGCCGGATACTCGACTGCCCGCTGGGACCTTGTGACGCGTGTCTACGAGCTCGCCATATTTGCCTGGGACCACGGCGTCGTGACACGGACCGCAAAGGGCTTCGCCTTGTTGTCGCTGCTGTTTTTCCTCTTCATCCTGCCAGTAGTGCGCATCGCGGCACAAGAGACGGACCTGGTCAGTAGGACACGCACCACGGTTCCATGGACCAGCTTACTGAACATGTACAGCACCCCAGACTTGCAGGCACAGGCATTTCTGCGCGCGAGCAGCTCAAGCGTCGTGGCTCCTTCTAGCGGGGTAACAGGATGAGGACATGGTCACGCACAATGGGTTGATGCGCGTATTCTGGCCGTCCGATGCTCCGACGGATTCTGCGCCAGGCGTCTTGGTGGGATTCGAGAACTCAAAGTCCGACGTCTTCGTCGTAGCCGTCCTCCAGGAGGTAGAGCTGCGCCAGGTGGAGAATGCGCTGCTTGTAGGAACCTTACTGCGACACAGCCCCCACGACATCCAGGAGCTGTTCCAGCGATGCGGTCACTTTGCCCTTCGGGCTCTAGGCTGTGTAAACCCCAAGAGTCTACCAGACCAACCTGGCGCCGAGCCTCTGACAGTGTATACCGATCCTTCGTCCCGTTTCCCCCGCCTACACTACGCCGCCGACACCCTCACGTCTATTCAAGTCATTGTATACGACCGACCGCACCCGAAACGCATGCAGTATCTCTCGCTGAAGCCCATTACGCTCGCACTGGGGGACAAGACAAGGGCAGCCGAATGGGATGGTGTGTTTGCCGAGCTGGAGCAGGCAGAGGTCAAGGAGCGGAAGAGAAAAGCACAGCTCGTGGAGAGACTGAAGCTTCACACCGTCATAGCACACCCGCCTACGCAAAAGGAACTGGCGTTGCCAGACATCATTGAGCAGGTCAACTGCTCGTACGAGCTCAATGCTTTGCTGCAAAAGAACATTGGCATGATTGGCAGGCGTATGAAGCGGGCGCTAAGTGTCAGTGAACGTGTCGCAGAGTCTGCCAACAATCTCTGGGACTATGCTTGGATGGTGCTCCACTACCTGTTCAGGGTCTGGATATGGCCTATAGCCGCGCAGGTCTTCATCTTTGGGCTCATCACACATCGCATTCTGGGAGAGGGTGTCATTCTGGTCCTGCACTGGCAGCCCAGGGGTCCTGACTACCCGGCCTTGAAGGACATTTCTGCAACAGCACAACAGATTGATATTCGGCTGCAACAGTGGTGTTACTGGCCAATCCAATACCTTACCTTGCGACGAAGAAAAGCCAACTGGGAGAGCATCACCAACACCCACCCCGAGTACATCCGGTTCTACAATAGTTTGTGGCTGGTTGCAAATGATGTCATCATGGGTATCGCAGTTGGAACATTCATCATTGAGAACGCGTCTTTTGTAGCGGCCCAAGTCGACACCATATTCAGCGCGTGGTCGGTCGAGGGACTGCGGCGCATGATATCATGGCTCATGGGGTGGCCCGGAGGCTTGAAGCTCAACACTGAGCTGGCCGCCTTTCTGGGTGACCTGTTTCTCTGGGTCATTGACTACTGGGCTAGTAAGTGCAGCGTGCTGGTCATATCGAGTATTGCTGACTGATATCGTCCAGGCTGTATATCGCTTCTGCGACCACATCTACCCGCCCTGATCCAGATCATTGGATTTTCGTCTTTTGCTGGCGCCACCATGCCCATCTCAATATTCTCAGATCTCGTCTCATTGCTTACGGTGCACATTTACTCGTTCTATGTTGCATCTGCCCGCATCTTCCACTGGCAGCTCATGATTATCATTTCCCTGTTCCACCTTTTCCGCGGCAAGAAGCGCAACATTCTCCGCAACCGAATCGACTCGTGCGACTACGACTTGGACCAGCTGCTGCTCGGCACCATTCTCTTCACGCTACAGTTTTTCCTCCTGACAACAGTCTTTGTCTTTTACCTGACATTTGCAAGCGCGCGTATTGCTGTCATTGGTCTGAAAGCGGGTCTGGAAATGGGACTTGCATGTCTAAATCATTTTCCGTTGTTTGCAGTCATGTTGCGACTCAAGGACCCGGGCCGACTACCTGGAGGCATCTGCTTCGAGGTACAGGACATGGGCAGTGTATCTGAAAGACCAGACGTGGCTAGCTCAGCGCCTACAGCCTATGTACTGTTAAAAGTAAGCCAATCTATTGATATCAACGTTGTTTTTGTATTTACCAGTTACAGTCTGTTCCACTATCGCTCCGCGCAATGTTCCAGCCCTACTTTGATCTCGGCGACCGCATCCGAAAACACTACTTCTCGCCGAGCGTTTTGCTATGTCTGGCTTCAGGCCAGTTTGTGCCGCCTATCCACCGCCGCAACCTGTACAGCCTACAGTACAGCATGCTCCCCGCAAAAAGAGCAAGCATAGGCGACCTATGGGAGAAACTGAGGAAGCGCGACCACGCCTCGCCACACGTGCCCACCTCGTTGCATGTGTCGAGTTCATTGCTCGTGCCAAACGGTTATGCTGCAATGCCGTCTAGAAGAGGCGTAGTTAACAGTAAAAGTAGAAAATTTGCATAATTACCAGTATTATCTGTCTCGCTCCTCCTCCTCTTCTTCTTCTTCTTCTTCTTCTTATTATTATTATTATCATTGTCTTGCTCTCATCTCGCACGTGCTGTTGTCTCACTGTCTCTATATATCCCACGCGTTGTGATACGTACTACGCACGACATGCTTCACGACTATGCTGTGTATTCCCTCGCTACTGGCGAGGTTGTAGTTGTTTTGAGCAGCAGAAAGTTGGATATTGAGTCAGTTTCCAGATTGCATCCATGTCCCGATTCATAGCAAGGTTGTCTTGTCTGTATGGCTCATTCGCCGCCTCGAGTCGCCTGCATCCGCTTCGTCGGTCATTACTGCTGCCATTCTTCCCAGGGCTTTCTGAGCGGGGAGTCACTACTTACCTCGAGAAAGAGTGACATGAGGATAGTGAGCAAGCAAGCAAGCAAGCAAGTAAGAGAGAAAGAACAAAAAAAATTACACGTCCAAAAGCATGTTGTGCAAATCGTTATCAAAGAGCATCATCGTATGTAAAAAAATTAAAAAAAAATTGTTGGGGGGGATTACAAAAAAAAGGAAAGGGAACAACATGGCCCCAAAATGGGCATAAAGTAATCGGTCATAAACCATACATCGTTGGCACAATTTCTGAATTTCTTCCCCCCTCCCCCCCCTCCCCTCTTTCCTCCACTTTCTCCAACTTCTCCTGCATGGAGTAATACATAGCAAAGTAGAGATGAGCCTTTTCTTTTTCTTCTTCTGAATCGACAAAAAGCCACCGTAGGATTACGTCAGAACATAAAAGAAGAGAGAATAAACACACAGATTACCTCCGTAATTCCAAGGAAAGAAAGAAGTAAGCAGGAAAAAAAAAAGAAATTGACGACACGATTGCTGGCCAAGGTGACGACAAACGGGATAGTGGCAGGCTACTTGTGCAAAGTAGCTCAAACGCCCAACTGTTTCGAATAGCATCAAGAGGCGTAGGAAAAGTCATTGTCGGCGGGTGGCTGGGGCCAGTCTGGTGGTTTGGGCGTCTTACTTGGGGGTTCGTCGGCGCGGGGTTTGCGACCCCAAACTACATATCTGGCAAGGATCAGCTCGGCGGTTACGCAATGGTCTTGTGCATTGAGGCAACGTACACCTTATAGTATGCATGTACTGACTTGTCCGCAAGAGCAGTGCGCACGTGGGCAAGGTACACTTCGACTTCGGCGGGAGACCACCCGAGAGCCGTGACAAAGTACTCAATGCTCCACGCATGCACGCCAGCGCACATGTTCCAGTAGAACCACTTGCCCAGCACCTTCATGCGCTCGTCCTTTGGCCACGAATTCACGGGAATGGCAAAAATCTCCTCGTGGACGTCGACAAAGCCCGCCTGCTCATACCAGCGTTTGAGCTTGTTGGCAATGCGCAGGGGCCGGCCCAGGCGCATGGCAGCCTCGTCCTCGGTCTGCGTCCATTCGAGGAGGGCGTAGTCGGGGGGCATTGTGCCGTCGTTGCAGTAGACCTTTGAGTAAATCTCCTGCGACTCCATCCATCCGCCGGGGTTGAGGTTGTTGAAGCCCTTTTGGATGATTTCGCGAAAGTCGCGGAAGATGCCCAGGGACATGCGCGTGTGGATGTAGTCGTAGGGCTGGGTACAGTGCCACCATTCCGGGCGGTTGATGTCATCCATGAAGAAGTCGACATTTTCGCACGAGCTGGGGAGCGTGTAAGCAGGGATTCGGCCATGGGGGTTGGGGGAGGGCAGCTTGGGCTCACATCTTTGGCTGGATTGGAGACAGGTCGATACCCTCAACCTATGCTTTTGTCAGACTAGTACTAGTCGAGGATATGGCCGACGAACCCGACACTTTGGGAACTCATTCGCTATGCAATGTTAGCGCTGTTTCCGTACTGCCGCGAAGGGGGAAGCGTCTGGGCATACCCATCTCGAAGCACCACTTGCCGGTGCCGCAGCCAATGTCGAGCATTCGCTTTGGGCGCTTCTGCTTGAGGGGCGCGAGGTAATTCCGCTGGTGGAATAGAGCCGTGAGGATAACATGCTGCATGTCGAGACGCTCTATCTCAGGCTGCGTGTGTGAGCTAGTCAGCGACGGACCGATTGATATGGACGCTTTATTGCAGCACACCACGCACCGCATCGTTGGGGAATGGGTAGGCTAGGGCGCATTAGCAGGCGGCGTGCGGAGGGGGGTCGGGCAGCAGAGCTTACCGCCAGCCTGGTAGCCGTGGTAGGTCCTGCCATACTTCTTGACGTAGTCGAAGATGCTTGGCGTGAGGCTCTGTATCTCGCTGTGGCGCGTGAGCAGGAAGGGTGCTGGCACGGCCAAGCCTGGGGGGTGAGAGGCGAGGCCGGGCAGGAGAGAGCACGTACGAATTGTCTGGGCACTCGTCTGACTGGGGGTCTGACTGCAATTGCGCATGTTAGCAGCGTGTTTGGTCGTGTTTGTGCGGGCGAGGACGGGGCGGGCTGGGGCAGGCATGGCGGACGACATACATCGGGCTCGAGGGTCGAGTGGGTGAAGTCGGTGAGGTCCGTGGCGCTGGACAGCGGGCGCAGCGGCCTGTCCTTGGACGGGCCATGGGGCGCAGAGGCAGCCATGAGGGCCTGGTTGCGATGCGCTACGGTGCGCTATTTGACTCTGGACGAGTCGTGTCGAGGAGGAGGCGAAACCCAGCGGAGCGGCATGTCGTTCCCAAGCCCAGGGTCTTGGGGGGGGGGGACACGCTGAACTGGAACAGCCACATGAGCGCGGGACTATCCTGCGCTAAGCCGGGGCCCAGCCAAACCCCGCACCCCCCTTCCCTTCGCTTTCCCCTTCCAGCCTCTCTCTCTCTCTCTCTCTCGCTCTCTCGCCCTCCTCCCACCGCCACCCGCGCCTCGCCCACCTATGCCTATGCCGGTGCATGTGCCTGTGCCTGCGTGTGCGTGTGCCCGGCCCACCACCACGCCGTCTTCCCCGTCGAATGGCCGCTGCCGTCGTGCGCCCCAGTGCTGCCACCTGTCTATGTACAGTACCGCCTACCGCTGGCCTGGCCACGGATACGCGTCGTCGCATCCGGCACATTGGATGCCAGCACCAGCTCAAGCATTGCCCGCCCCTCCCCGGCCTCTAGTGTGTCAAAACAGGCTGCCCGTCGACCTGAAAAAAAAAGCGCCCGGCTAGCCGTGGCCTCCCTCGTCACGAACGCCTATCATGCGCTCCCACGCCCTGCGCCCTTGGGCCCTAGGGCCAGGTCCCGCAGCCTCGTCGTCGATGCACCGACGAGCATCGTGGCCGTGGCACTGGCACTGTGGACAATGCCGCCGCGCGCATCAACCGGAGCTTCGGGTCCGACGTAAGGCGCTGCTGGTGCGGGAGCCTTTGCCTTGGTTGCTTTTGCGCAGCCCGAGGCAAGCCACGGAAACCTTGGGGACGGCCCTGCATCGACTTGCCATCCACTTGGCGCTGGCCGACTCGATTCGCTTCCCAAGGAAACCCTAGCGACGCCTTACCCCATTCTGCCATGTGCCGCCACAATCTGGGCAAACATGTCGTTTTTCTTTTCCTCTTTCTTTCTTTTTTCTTTTTTCTTTTTTGCCCTATCGCGACCCGCACACGACTATGCCTGATTGCGTGCACTTGCCGCCTTCGCAAAGGCCTTTTCGGCCCTTTGTCACTACTAGCACTACGCCTAGTACTAGAATGCCTTGGTTAGAAGGTCGTCTCGGAGATAGCGGAATCTCACTTGCAGCCGCCCTCGTGCGTGCAATGATGCAAGATTACGGCACTTACCTGGAAACCGCATGTTGCGACAAGGCCCTTCTACGGTACTCGAGTGAATCATCTTCCGTCTACGTTTGACATGGAGACAAAAAAGCTGGCTATTGTCAGGCCGTTGAGCAATGTCGCCGAGGTCGACTCGTACCATGGCGTCTGCAAAGAGCGGAGAATTATGCTCGAGACCTGCATCAATATAATCACCGCAAGGCACTAACTTTATAGCGTGGCATCGATATGCACATGCATGCCCTTGGCCCTAAGTACCCAGTCTTCTCATCCGAAAGGGCGCTCTACGTACATGACGTTCAGCCTGTGATCAGTAAACATGTGGGAATGACATCACCAATGTCATCCTCTCCTACAGCAATTTCGACATGCACATGCTGACCGGGCCACTGCCTTCCAAGCCATAAGCATAAGCGCTAGTCGCCGGCCAAGTCCGTAAAGTGTCTAGCCTCTCGATTTCCCTGGGCATTCCTCACTTTTGGCCCAGCACGTGCCTCGCTTGCGAGCAATGGGACCATGCGTGTTGAGACATTCACAAAAATGCAATTGACACTGCTGGAAGATGCGCGTACACCTAGAACCATTCCGCTAATGTACAAGAGCTCGTGTCCAAACAAGCTGTTTCCGCAAACACTGATTTACCGGCCCTTCTTGACCCAGTCCTCGAGGCTCTCCCTCGTGTCGGCGAGCTTGCCCTCGACGGCACCAACCGTGCCCTGGGCATGGGCCTTGCCAGTCTCGATGAACTGCTGGATTCGCTTCTTCATGCGCACGTGTGTGTCGGCAACGACGGGGTACCGCTCCTCGTACGTCCAGATGAGGTCTCCGACGTTCTGAGACGTAATGGGCAGCACGACCTTGGCAGCAGTGATGCCAACGGCGACGGGGACCGAGGCGCGGAGGAGGAGGTTGCGGTTGCGCGTGACAATGGAGCCGGCCATGGCGGAGACGAGCACGTAGAGGGCTCCGGGCAGGACCTTCTCGCCAGACTCCTTAGGCGGGGCTAATGAGCGGATGGTGCTTGTGAACGAGTGCTCGAGGCGGAGCGTCTCGGTGAGGGCGTTGTCAACAGCCTTCTCGCCGCGGACGGCCTGCTCGTACAGAGCCATGCGCGCACGCCCAATCTGGACGGCCAGACGGTCCGTGGGGGTCGGGCGGTAGACGGGCTCTTCAGAGGGGGCGGGGCGGGATGGCTCTGCGAGCGAGGGCGCCGTGGGCTCGGTCGTGTCCATGGGCAGGTCGTCGTAGATTGGCTTGCGGTTCTGGCGGCCGCGTCAGTAGGGGCGATATTGCACGTGCCTGGGGATCTTGTAGCGACAAAATATCTGCCGGAGATGGCGGGCAGCGGAATTACGCACCGAGTAGTCTTCCTGGCGCTCTTCTGCGTATACAGGCCTGGGTGCGAAGATTGCCGTGGCCGAGAGGGCGGCCATGGCGGGCACGACGGCGCGCTGCAGGGCGTCAGAAAGCAGCTCCAGACGGTCGTGTCGTCTACTCACCTGCCGTAGCAGCGGTCTGAAAGCCATGTCGGGCGGGGGGCAGGCACAATGGATGGTCGACTGGCCGGATCCAACTTCTGATGTTGAGCTCTGAGGTTGCGGAAACGGCCGTGCGAGCGCCGCAAGAGGCCCGCCTGTCCTCGGCTTACCTATGACATCGTTTTGTCTCTGCCCTCCAGCCCGCCAACTTTCTCCCCCGTGCAGCCCAACACCATGCTCAAGCGGCTCGCGCGCACAAAGCAGCCCTCCTCGCCATGGATCTGCCAGCGCTGTCTGCACCAGTCGCAGCGCCAGCGACGCTTCAACTCGACCTTTGCTGCCGCTGCAAAGCCACGCGACCTTCCGCCGCCGCCGCCGCCCGCCGCCCTCTATGGCCTGTCTGCCGGCGGCAAGACGGATGACGACGCCCTGCGCAAGGTCTTCGATAACGCCTCCTTCTGGGATGCCTTCAAACGCACGTCGCAAAAGGACCAGCCCGCTGGCATCATAGGCAACAAGTACCTCACGCACCCGGAAGGCTTCGTCGACTTTGTTACCGTCACCATACAGCGCTGCAATGCCGTCGTGCAAAAGGTGGCAGCCGCGCAGTCGGTCGACGACTACAAGAACATGGTCAAGGATCTCGACAAGCTCAGCGACCTGCTCTGTCGTGTCATCGACCTTGCCGACTTTGTACGGGGCACGCACCCGGATCGCAAGTTCCAGGTCATGGCAGTCAAGGCATACTCGACCGTCTTCCAGTATATGAACCAGCTCAACACCACACCCGTGCTGTACGACCAGCTGAAAAAGGGCTCCGAAATGCCGGAAGTGTACGAGGCTTGGACCGAGGAAGAGCGCATCGTTGCGCGGATACTCATGGAAGACTTTGCAAGATTCGGCATTGGGCTGGACGACAAGACGCGGGAAAGACTAGTAGACCTGAGTGGAGAGATTGCCGAAGTCGGCAACCAGTTTGTCGAAGGCATGGCGCCCGAGACACTGACGCTGAGGTTCAAGGCCACCAAGCTGAGAGGGCTGGACCCGAATCTAGCACAGGCTCTAACCAAGTGGGGAGAAACCAAGATTTCGACCATGCACCAGGAGGCGCAATCTGTACTTCGCTATGTCGACGACGCGGAAGTACGCAGACAGACATACCAGGCAGTGCGCACAGCAAGTAAGCCGAGCATCGCGCGATTGGAGAAGATGCTCAGGCTACGTGCCGAACTGGCCCAGACATCAGGCTACGAGACATTTGCGCACATGACACTTGAGAATAAAATGGCACGCACACCAGAGGCCGTCAATACGTTTTTGAATGCTCTATACGAGGATAGCCGTCCTGCCGTGCTCGCTGATCTAGAGGAACTCACAGAGCTCAAGAGGGGAGATGCCCACCGATCAAACTTTCCAGATCGCATCAATGCCTGGGACAAATTCTACTACACGCAAAAGATGCTTGCCACAATGGAGGGTCACTACAAGCAGCGCACTCCAGACTCCCTGTCTGCGTACTTTTCCGTGGGCACCGTCCTCCAGGGCATATCTCGTCTTTTTGACCGCCTCTACGGCGTGCGTTTTGTACCCAAAGAGACACAACCTGGCGAGGTATGGGATGAGGGCGTGCGCCGTCTCGACGTTATATCGGATACAGAAGGACATATTGCGGTGCTTTACTGTGATCTGTACTCTCGAATGGGCAAGACGCCCAATCCGGCCCATTTCACCCTGCGGTGTAGTCGCGAGATTCTGCCTTCAGAATTGGAAGAAATGGCGCACATGCAACACCGTTTCTCATCGCCTATCGAAGCAGCAACGGACGGCATGCCGGTAACTTACAATGCCGAACGCCAGAGTTACTTTCAGCTGCCTACAATCGCTTTGATCTGCGACTTTAGCAAAGCATCTTACCCAAAGCCCACCCTTTTGAACATTCATGATGTACGCACTCTCTTCCACGAAATGGGCCACGCCCTTCATTCCATTCTCGGTCGCACAGCTCTGCAAAACGTCTCTGGTACTCGCTGCGCCACCGACATTGCCGAGCTGCCCTCTGTCCTCATGGAACACTTTGCCTTTTGTCCACATGTCCTCTCTCTGTACGCCCGCCACTGGGAAACAGACGCCCCAGTCCCGATGGCGGCTCTCGAATCACGCCTCGCAATTGACAACCGCAACCAATACGCCGAACTCGAATCGCAAATTCTACTCTGCATGCTGGACCAGGTCTACCACTCTCGCATCGCGGCAGACCCAGACTTCAATTCCACAAAGGTCTACCACGATGTGTACAACAGGTACTCATCAGTTCCTGAGCCTGCCGGCACAGCATGGCAAGGCTTCTTTGGCCACTTGTATGGCTACGGTGCCACGTACTATTCTTACCTGTTTGACCGCGCGCTGGCCGCCAAGATCTGGAAGGATGTTTTCCAGCACAACGGCCAGCAAGGCAGTCTGGACCGAGAGAACGGCGAGCTGTACAAGAACGAGGTGCTCAAGTGGGGCGGCGGAAGAGACGGCTGGCAGTGTCTAGCCGGCGTGCTCAAAGACGACAAGCTAGCCCAGGGCGGCGAGCAGGCCATGCAGGAAGTGGGTAAATGGGGTATCAAAGACGCTGGCAGATGAGACTGTACACATAGGCTTTTCTTAGAAGCGGAGAATTGTCGATGTACATATGATGGAATGCGGGTTAATGTTGAGTTCACGTAGAAATATGAGTTATGAAATTTGTCAGAGCGATACCGTATATTTACATCCATCCCCCGTCACATACCACTGCACTCTAGCCCAGCTCTTCCCAATTGATCCCAGGAGGGTGTGCAAGCACCCATTGACTGATGTCTTTTTCTTAAGGGTGGGAATGCGTATAGTTGAACAAGCGGCTGTGTGTCTACTAGTCCACACGGGTACAGTCTGATGGTTCTGTCTGGCCTGGCGTTGTTGGTAACGACGAATTGTGCCATCTCCACGAAGAGAGGGTATTGTGCAGAACAAAGGTTTGCTGCTCTATTACATCAAAGCCAAAAGCAAAGTCACCGTTGCCAACTCGTATTGGGCTGTATGAATGTAATTGGCTCAGTCAAGACAAGACCATGTTGCTACACGATGGGCTAGCATCACGCTCCCAGCGATTCATGATACTGGCTGAGAGCATAAGAAAATCCCTGGCCCATGTTGATATCATGCTGCCCATGATTCTTCGATATTAACTCCAGCCGTGACTCTTGATAACGTTTATGCAAGCATCTATCGTCCGGGGTTACTGGTATAGCACTCTGCAGGTCAAATCCCCGACGGATCGTCTGGCTGACTCTGCACGTCAGCGGGGTCAGCCAAACAAAGCACAGCATCGGGATGAGATGCTCCGAGAGGGAAGAAAAGATCTGCTGTAATGGGAAGCGTCGTCTCAGACATGGATTGTGGGACAAGGAATGTGGGGGCGCAGAAGTGGGCCTGGCTGCTGTAGAATACGCGCTAACCCCTCTCGGACGACGCGCCCTTATCGATAACGATTTGTGAGAATCAGAAAAGTTTTGGCGACGCAAAGTAACATCATTCCTACCACAAACATGTCAAAGGATAAGAGCATGGAGCCGATGGTTCAGAACGGTGAAGGCGGAGCTGTGGAACTGAAGAAGGGGAAGAAGAGGAAGAGAGCTCAGCCAGCCAAGGACGGATGGAGCGTTAAAAAGGGCGCTGGCCAACTGACCAAGTTTGATGATTCCGAGGATGATGTGCCCAATGCTGTTCCAGAAGAGAAGAGCAAGGCAGATGTAGTGAAGAAACAAGAGGCTATCACAGAATCGCCAGCTGGACAGGCAGATGTGCCGCCCAAGCGCAGCAAATCCGAAGTGCCCACCGAAACCACCGAAACCAATCCAAAGCGCGAGCAGCATTCTCGAGCGAGAAACAAGCAACCACAGCGGCTGCGAAACTCCCAAAAAACCCAGGACATACCGCCTCACCTCCTCCAAAAGCGCGACGAGCTGCGCTCAGTCCGGAAATCGCTGCCCATTTGGCCACAAGCAGACTCCATCCGCGCAGCACTCCAGAAAAACAACGTCCTCGTCCTGACGGGAGAAACGGGTTCTGGAAAATCGACACAACTGCCACAGTTTCTGACCAACGAGTCCTGGTGTACCGGATGCATAGCAATCACACAGCCGCGACGAGTGGCAGCAATCTCCTTGGCTCGTCGTGTTGCGGATGAGATGGGCAGCTTGCTCGGCGACAAAGGGCCTGCAGCCAAGGTCGGCTACAGTGTTCGTTTCGACAATGCTGTTGGCAAGCATACCAAAGTCAAGTTTCTAACCGAGGGTATGCTGCTTCAGGAGATGCTTAGGGATCCCAACATGTCGCAGTACAGTGCGATAGTGGTGGACGAGGTTCACGAAAGGAGTGTGAACGTGGACCTGATTCTGGGGTTTCTAAGGAACCTGGTAGCTGATAAGGAATACAACAAGGCGAGGAAGCATCCGCTCAAAGTCGTAGTCATGAGTGCTACAGCAGATGTGGAGAGCCTGGTCAAGTTCTTTGGGGACGGCCAATCGTCAAATTCCGAAAAGACTGTTGACAAGGCAAAGTCACCAGACACGACGAGCAAGGTTTCGACGTGCTACGTAGAGGGGCGCCAGTATCCGGTCAAAACAATATACCTACCACAGCCGACTCAGGACTGGATCGAATCGGCTCTGAAACTGGTCTTCCAGATACACTACAAGGAGCCGCTGCCGGGGGATATACTGGTGTTTTTAACGGGCCAGGATACGATTGAGGCGCTGGAAAAACTTATTAATGACTACGCCGAAGGCATGGACGAGCAGGTTCCCAAGCTTCTTGCACTTCCACTCTTTGCTGCGCTGCCCCAACACGCCCAGCAGCGCATCTTCCAGCCAGCGCCGCACCGAACACGCCGTGTCATCCTCGCAACCAACATTGCAGAAACGTCCGTCACAGTCCCTGGAATCCGCTTCGTCATCGACTGCGGCAAGTCAAAAATCAAGCAGTTCCGCAACAAACTCGGTCTGGAGTCGTTGCTCGTAAAGCCCATTTCCAAATCTGCAGCTATCCAACGCAAGGGTCGAGCGGGCCGTGAAGCACCCGGCCAGTGCTACCGCTTATACACTGAAGATGCGTACAAGACCATGGAAGACCGCACTATCCCCGAGATCCTGCGCTGCGACCTCAGCCAAGCCATTCTAACCATGAAAGCGCGTGGCGTCGACGACGTCCTCAGCTTCCCCTTCCTCGACCGCCCCCCGCGCGAAGCACTCGAGAAAGCGCTCCTCCAGCTCCTGCATCTCCAGGCGCTCAGCGAAACGGGTGAAATCAGCGCCACGGGCCTCAAAATCGCAAAGTTCCCCTTAACACCGCCACTCGGCCGCGTGCTCGTCGAAGCCGCCGCGCCCTCACGCGACTGCGTCCACGACGCCATCGACATTATTTCCGCGCTGAGCGTCGAAAACGTTTTTCTCAATCTCGTGACTGAGGAGCGCAAGGAAGAGGCCGAGGAGGTCCGGCGCGAGCTGTACCGCCGCGAGGGCGACCACTTGACGCTTCTGGTGACGGTGCAACGATACGCTGCCGAGGACAAGGCGCAGCGCAAGGCCTGGTGCGAAAAACACTACGTGTCGTACCGAGCCATGGACAGCGTAATGAAGATCAGAACACAGCTGCGCGAGCAGTGCAAGCAGCAGAAACTGCTGTCCAGCGAAGATACTCAATCGGACTCTGCGCCCTCGGAGGCAAAAAGCAACGCCATCCTCGCGTGTATCCTGCGCGGCTTCATTGCAAACACGGCGCGACTGATGCCCGATGGCAGCTACAAGACGTTGCTGGGCAACCAGACGGTAGCGATCCACCCGAGCTCCGTGCTGTTCGGCAAGAAGGTCGAGGCGATTGTGTTCAATGAGTTTGTGTTTACGGGCAAGGCGTGGGCGAGGGGCGTGAGCGCTGTGCAGTTGGATTGGGTTTCGGAGGTCATTGATGGCATCATGTAGAAGCCAGAAAAAGTATACTGGGTTTGTTCAGAGTACCCGTTTTTTTTTTTTTTTTTTTTTTTTAGTATAGGTTAGCAGGTTGATATCCTCACGGGAGGAACAGAGTAAAAATATACAACCACTTAACCTAATCCCATCCCATCACACCACACCACACCACAGTATTTCTATCTCCGCCTCCCCACCCCCGGCGCCGCCTCCTTATCCGCCAGACTAACCACCTCGCCAATACCCGCCGCCTCCTGCTCGTCTTCCAGCGCGCGAATCTCTTCCCTGCAATCCCACCATTTCTCCTCTGCGCGCTCAAACGCCATTTTCTTGACTTCCTTTGGACTCTTTTCCGCACTGACGCCCTTCTTCTCCAGCTCTTCGAGAACGAGATTCTGCCACTGCTCGGCGGTGCGGGCGTAGAAGTCGCGGAGAGATTCAAAGGGGCGGGGGTGCGGCAGTGTATCTGTGAGTGCTGAGATTTCTTCTTGCGGGCCCAGATCTTCGGGTTGGGTTGGTAGAGTGGTAGTAGTAGAAGGGGAGTCTGCGACGCTGGTAGGAGCCGTGGAAACGGATTTTCTGTCGTCGTCGTCGTCTTCGTCGTCGTCACCACCGCCTTCTTCGTCGGAATCTTCTTCCTCGTCGCCTTCCTCGTCCGAGTCGGCTTCGTCTTCGCTGCCCTGCCAGTCTTCGAGGTCGCGCTTGAAAATCTCGGTTACGCCGTCGAGATGGTTGAGGTTGACGGACCACAGCTCGTCAAAGGTGAATTCTCGGTCACCTTTTTCAAAGGTGCCGCCGTAGATGTATAAGGTGTCGGCTTGGACGGTGAGGGCGGCGTTGAAGCGAGGATGTGGGAACTCAAAGATCTTTGGCTTTTCGGGACGCGTCTCTTCTTCTTCCTCTTCCTTGGCTTTTGCGGCTTCGTCGTCTGAGTCGGGGTCGGCCGAGACTCCTGCTTTCATCTCGAGGGCTTTCAGGTTGGCTAGCAGTTCTTCTTCGGCGGCTTTGCCGCGGTCTCGGCGGCTGGTGTTGGCTTGTTGGGCGGCCCTCTTGTTCGCATTTTGCTTTGGGCGTCGCAGGGTGAGCGGCATGAAGCGGTTTCGCTCTATGTTCCAGATGAAGAGTTGGTTGAAGAATTCCGAGTCAATGCCCTCCTCGCTCTCCTCCACATCATGCACTCCGCCAAACATGACGCCACGACCCTTGTGGTGGGCCATTGTGGCTCCTGCACGCGGCGGGTTTGGCGCATTCGCCGGCTTCTTGCGCTTTTCCCAGGAAACAGTGGGCAGAGTCGTAGAGAGTTGATCCGCAGGTGGAGGTGTAATGCGCAGATACCAAGTATCATCGTGAACTTTTGGCTTCAGCACCATACGCGAAGCTGGTCCTCCGCCACTGCTCTTCTTGCCCTTGCCCTGCTGTTGCTGCTGCTTTCCACCTGCCTGCGCTTTCACTCGCGAGTAACCACCGTAAATGACGGCGCCCTGATCATGTGGTAAGAAGGTGAAACTTGATCGGGCATCGGGCATAGCGCGAGCAGCTTGGAGCTTTGGTGTGTGCCACGAGAAGTTGACGCAATCGTAGATCCAGAGGTCGTTCAAGTACTTTGTTGTGGCAGAAGTGTCTTGGAATCCTCCGAAGAGAATGATGTACTGCTTGTAACCAACCATACGGTGTCCACTTCGTGCTGGCGGCGCAGCCGTCTTGCTCTTGCCCTCCATACGCGTCCATTCTCTCGTCGAGGGATCCAGCTTCCAAAAGTCGTTGTAGTGATAGAAAGTTCCCTGCTTGGGAGAGCTGAACTCTCCGCCAAACAGATAAATTTCTTTGGTATTTGCTGCACGGCACCAAGCATGCCCGGATCGAGGAAGTGGCGAGTTGGGACTGGTGACTTGCTTCCAGCCATCTTGCTTGATGTTGTAGATCATGAGGTCGTTGAAGAATTTCGCCGTGGCTCCATTGAAGTACTCTCCTCCGAACAAGAAAACTTCGTTCTCGTTGGCCGGGTTGGCAATGAGCGTGCTAGACGTTCGTGCGGATGGCGGTTCAGCAGCTATCTCAGTGATGGCAAGGTGTTGTTCTTGCTCTTTTGCATACTGTGCTAGAATCGCATCGAGATCGACATCTTCAGCATCAGAATCGATTTCCTGGTTCTTGGATGCGAGCTTTTTGTCCTTTTTGCCCGCCTTTTTTTCTTGTTTGGCGGCTTTTGCTGCTTTGGCGGCGGCCTTGCCACCCGCTGCTTTCTTCTTATCTTTGGCCATGTTCCATTCTGGGTTGTGTATCGATTAGATAGAAATGTGATGTAGAATGCAGTCACACTTGTGGTTATGTGGGACGGCGATTCTCCGCGATTTGCCCCTCAGTTGTTGGAAAATTTCCCACCACAGTGTTGATCCCCTGGGCTGTGTCAACCACCGCTATCCGAGCGAAAACCAATGAAACTACTCCTCAGCGGATCGAGCTCTCGGACCTGGCATGCATAAGTGTATCGGATAGAAAAAGGTTTGGTGCAGCATGTTCACTGTCACTAGCCCTTCGGAGCAGGGGTTACGGAGCGCTCACTCTTATCGATAACGCGGCATCCATTCACCCCCCGCTTCTCCCCGCTCGACACGAACATTACCAACATGATTCAAGCAGCAAAGATACTCGAGCAGAGAAGCCATCTCGTACCTGGTATATGCTTATCCCGTCCATCCTGAGCTATGAAAAGTAACTTTATACAGGCAAGCTTCGAATCACGGAGCACTTCTTCCAAGTACCTCGTGACTACTGTACGTCGCGTTCCGCTTTTCTAACCGAATCAAAGACAATGTGCATTCTCGTTTTTGAATCCTGAAATGAATACCCTAAATCGAAGATGACGCTTACCCGATTCCAAAGCAAACCCATCTCTCGGAACTATCCAGCTCTTCGCGCGTTCAGCCCTCAAAGCCGAGAAGCCCGCAGACTACACATCAACGTCGTATCTCGAGCGATCTAAAACGCAGCTTCCATGGCTCATCTACCTGCAAGGCGGTCCAGGCTTTGAATGCAGGCCGCCTCAGAATGTCTCGTGGACGCACACTATCCTGGACAAAGGATACCAAGTCCTCATGCTCGACCAGCGCGGAACCGGTCTTTCGACCGCCATCAGTCAGTCTAGTCTCCAGCTGAGAGGCGACGAGAAAGTGCAGGCGGAATACATGAAGAGTTTCCGAGCAGACAGCATTGTCAAAGACTGCGAGGCGGTAAGAAAGGCATTGACGGCGGATTATCCCGAGGAAAAGAAGAAATGGAGTATCATGGGCCAGAGCTTTGGTGGTTTCTGCTGCACGACATATCTGTCTTTCTACCCTGAAGGCGTCAAAGAAGCGTTTCTGTTTGGAGGCCTCCCACCGCTGAGAAACGACCCAGACGAAGTGTACGAGCGGCTGTATGCGCGTGTCAAGAGCAGAAACGAAGGCTACTATAAAAAGTATCCGGAAGATGTGCAGAGGGTCAAACGCATCATCAAGCTTCTCTCTCGCTTCGGCGACACGACAGTGCGCGTCCAGGGCGGCGAGAGCTACCTTTCTGCACGCCGATTCCTTCAACTAGGTATCTACTTTGGCAAGCACGGCGGCTTTGACGAAGTGCATGATCTGGTTCTGCGCGCCGACACGGATCTCACTCAATTCGGACATCTAACGCGTCCCACGGTGCTCGCGCTGGAAGCAGCGCAGAGCTGGGATACAAACGTCATCTACGCGCTGCTTCACGAGCCCATCTACTGCCAGGGCGAAGCTGCCAACTGGTCTGCCGAGCGTCTTCTACCCAAGCACCCCGAGTTCTCCCTCTCGCGCGTAGATTCCGAGGAGCCGGTTTACTTCACAGGAGAAATGATTTACCCCTTCATGTTTGACAGCTACCCCGAGCTCGCCAAGCTCAAGACGGTCGGGCAACTCCTTGCTCTGGAAAAGGACTGGCCGCAGCTCTACGATGTGGAGCAGCTGAAGAAGAACGAGGTCCCGACTTATGCAGCTGTATACATGGATGATATGTATGTCGACTTTGATTTGAGCATGGAGACGGCAAGCACCATCAAAGGATGCAAGCCGTTCATCACAAACATGATGTACCACAACGGCATTGGCGCGAAGACGGACGAGGTGTTGAAGCAAATCTTCTCGCTGAGAGACGATGTTATCGATTAGTCTACGAAATACCATAGCCAAAGTATCAACAGATCCAAGTCATAACCGACATCATGCACCTTGCCTCATGATCTTCTGCGCCTCTGTCAGATGGGCATTCATATCAAAGTTCCAGACCCATTTCATTCTGTTGACAAAGTTGTGCTCGATCTTATCCATATCGTCTCCCTCGAGCTCGAGCTCGAAGTCGTACAGCTTGCCAGACTCAAAACTCCTAGCCACGTTTTCCTGCGGCCTCCCGCGCCGCACTTGGTCGTAGGCGGCAAACGCGCGCATTAGCTCGTCTGTGTTGTTCGCATCCTTGATCAGGTTGGAGATGACACAGGCGTCTTCTATGCCCATGCCGGCGCCGGCGCCTTGATGCGGGGTTGATGCGTGCGCCGCATCGCCCAGCAGAACCACGCGGCCCTTGGTAAAGGAGTCACAGGGCGGGTGCATGAAGAGGGCCCAGATATCTGGCTTTTCCATGGCAGCCACGATTTTCTGCACGTGAGGGCCCCATTCAGCAAAGTCGGCCTGCATATCTTCTTTGGAAGTGGTAACGACCCAATTGTCGTTATCCCATGTTTCGCGCGACCTGAAGGCGACGACTGCGGCTGTTAGCAGAGGGCTGGTGGTTGAGGGCGGTTCAACGCACCATTCATGACTTTGCCATGGGCAATGGGAAATGTGAGGAGATGGCCGTGGTATCCTAGAAACATTTGGCCATTTCTGGCGACATCGTCGCCCAGAAGCTCTACTGCTTTGTCCATGTGAATCAGGCCTCGGTATGCGTATTTGCCAGAGAAAACGGCATTTGAGGCAGGATTGTCTCTTCCAAGTACCCATTTTCTCGTCATCGACTTGATTCCGTCACAGCCAATGACGGCCGTGTGCTGTGCTGAGGAACCGTCGGCAAACTTCAGCACCATGTCTCCAGAACCGTCAGCCGCCTCTTCCATGTCAACCAGTCTCTTGTTAAACTTGGCAACGTCTTCCGGCACGTCTTTGACCAGCTCGTCGAGAAAGTGGGCTCTGTACACGCCTCCACGTTCTCCATCTTCGGGTAGAGGAACCACGAAACAGGGGTCGCCCACCTTGACTCCCTTTTTGACAAAGCCGTCTTTGTCCGCTTTTCTGTCGTCTCCTACGCGGACTGTGAACCAAACATTTGCTTTGGCGCCATCGCCATTTCCAGTCCTGCATTTCCGGAAAGCTTGCAAAATCTTGGGGGACAGGTACTCCATTGCGCGCCCTGCATTGGGGCCAAAGGCAACGCCCGCGCCGATCTCGCTAAAACCCGAGGCTGCTTCATAGATGGTGATGGGGATGTTGTGGTCCAGGAGGGTTAGCGCAAGAGAGAGACCTGAGATTCCGCCGCCGATGATGGCAATGTTGAAAGGCCTCGAGGGCGAGATTGCAGACGGCATGATTGGAGGAGAGGATGCTGGAGGGTGGTTGACGACTGGGTGGGGGAATTTAACAATGGGTACGGAGGTGCCTCACAAAAGTTTTGTCCCACGCTAATCTCGGCGCTTCGGCATAACTCTTCTTGGCGCAACTCCCACCTTTGAGCTGAGTAGCTGTACGATTTGTCTGTATCTATCGTTACAATGTCTCCTAATACTGATCCTTACACCCGCACCTTAATTGTGGCGTTAAAGTCACCTTCTGTTGGCAAGTCTACATCACAGATCTCTGAACTTACTGATGTTCATCCTCGTACGGTCAATCGTATCTATAGTAGAGCTATTGAGGCTGGTTTCGAGCCAAACGTTCTCCCTCTTAAGATCCTCCCAGAGCACGTACAAGACGCCCCTCGCTCTGGCCGACCTTCAAAGCAGACGGATAAGGTAAAGGAGCAGATAATCCAACAAGTACGACGTGATAGATACGGACGAGAGAAGAGCTGCGCTGACGTTGCTGGTGCTCTCAGTCTTCAAGGAGTCAATATATCACGCACTACAGTCTGGAGAGTATTAAGAGAAGCAGGATACAGAAAGACCAAGCCGACGAGGAAGCCTGGACTGACACAGGAGATGAGGAGTGCTCGTCTTAAGTGGGCGCTTGATCATAAGGACTGGACATTAGAAGACTGGAAGAATGTCATCTGGACAGACGAGACGTCTGTTGTACTCAACCACCGGGCGTGGGCGGCCTATAGAATTCTGGGAGAAA